CTAGCTTCGCAACCTGCATTCTTAGATTGCAATTTTATTTTCAGTTCTCGCTATTCACAAATTGCCTACCTGGTTTACTAATGTACGTGCTTACCGATTTAAAACAAATATTTGTAAGCACACATGAATGGCGAGGAACATAACAAAAAAACAAATATTTGTAAGCACGCATGAATTGCCTACCTGGTTTCCTACTTAGAGTTCTTCCTTGGCAGCTTGTACGATAAATAGTTTCGCCGTGTAAATAGCTGTTTCTGATCTGCTTCCATATAGGTTATTATTTTCATGCTCTACTATTTGAACAATATTTTACAACCATCTCTACTTGATTAGATTGTTTATTTGTTCCATGTCGTAGATTTCATGGTACAACCAATTGCCTTGTTCAGGGGATGTGAGGACCATCCAAAGGTGCAGATTTAATACCATGTAAAATGTAAAATAGACATGCCTCTTTGTTCCAAGTGAGTTCCTTCTCTCAGGCTTTTTTGTTACATTGTTTCAGATGGGAAAACTGAGGTGACACATTCAAAAATATTTCAGCTTTAGGGGAGTGAAATTGGGGGTGCATCCTGCAGCTTGGGTTTCCTGTGTTTTTTAGCTATATGCTGATTCTGTTTTTTTAGCTATGTGCTGATTCTGAGAAATCTACTGCATGCAGACCTTGTTTTACCAATCCCCTTTATAGGCTTAATAAGCAACAGTACTCCAACTCAGCGTAGGCAAGCGTCTTCCTGATCTGGTCTCTGCATTGTAATGTTTTTCCCAGCTCATTTCATCTTACTGATTTTTTACAGCTGTATCTCTTCACAGGATCATTACTGTGTTGGTTGGGCTTCGTCAATTCAGCAGGATTAATCGGTCCACTATTTTTTCTTTTGATAACCCGGTCAATACCTGCTACTTTTAGGTGCTTCTTGGATTAATCTCCTCACCCTCTTCTTCAAGGTACATTAGGTTGCTCCTCTCATTTAAGTTCATTTTTCCCATGTAAGTTGTTTTTGCCATAGATGCAATTGACAGCTGGCTAGCCACAGGACCAAAGTATGTTCATCCATTTTTTCCTTGTTCCTTTCTGGTATCTATTTATGAGATATAAATATGATCTTTTTTTTTGTTTACCTTCCATTGATCAGTGATGTTTCAGAGGTTACATATCTTTCTATTACAACAACTATTTCTTAGCTTTACAAAAATAATGGCCTTCATATCATGTATGTGTTTGATTCCGAGGATAGAACAAAGCCCGATGAAACTTAATAATTTGATTTGTTCATACACAGTAGGCCCCAACCAGTGCTTGCTAGAATAGTGTCAATGTCAAAATAGGACTCATATGTATTTTCGGTAGTATAGATATCAGGATATTGCATTACCAAGGATAGAACATTTGAGTGGATACGAATTACACAATGCCTATTTGCAGAAGTAATAATAATCAATAGCGGCTCTATGAATAAAGACAGATGCCTTTATTTTCCTTGGTACCTTATATTTATATTTCAAATGAAAAAAGTATGCTATTCATTTAGTACTGCTGATTTACCTAAATTTAGTTTCCGTTATTAATTTCTATGTAATGTGTTTTCAGGTGATACAATATATAAATATATGGTTTACAAAAAAGAAAACCTGGATTTCCAACGTCGATATTACTTTGCATTATACTGATAGGCGTGCTTACCAATTTTGTGATTAAACGTTGCCATGGTTTCAGAGGTAAGCTGCCATCATTTTTGTTTTTTACTCCTAACATGATTAGCATCTACATGATCGACCATGATCTATGACAAACACAGTAAACTTTTAGCGGTCAGTATTTGGCTCTCTATTGAGCTCCCTGCTTAGCATCACTGCAATTTGTTCACTACCCAAAATGGTTTTACAAGGTGATTCTGTTTGTTGCATGTTATGTTTCAAGTTTGCATCATCACATTCTTCTCTAGCCTAAGCTATAGGAATTGAGTCAACTCAAAAGTTACATTATGCCAGAATCATTCTATAATCGTGTACCTTAAAGGTCTGATTACTGCTCACTCTTTCAATGTGCTATAGGTTCCGTCCTCATGTAAATTCCTTTTCTATATTATTTATTATGTACACACTAGGTAGGAGTGGAGGCCATGGTGCAAAGAAGGGATTTCAATCATGCTGATTTCGTTTATTCTTTCCTTTCAAATAGTTGGATGGTGGAGGGGGTTTAAGAAGCTCTGCATCTTTTGCTTTCTAATTTCCTGCTTCCTCCTTTTCTCAATCTAGAGGTTCTTAGTGTCTTTTCTCTATTTTCCCCATTTGCATGTGTGGTCTTTTACATGTTTTTTTTTGCCGATTTCAATGCTTTATTTTGGGAGGCTTGATGGCTTCGTTTCTCTTTCAGCTTGGGACAAGGACCTAATTGGCAAATTTAGAGGTTTTTCATCACATCAAGGTTGTCGGCCTGGGCGTACTGCACTATTGGTAAGATGCTTTTCCGAACAATACTTCTTCAGTGACTGTTATTTTTTCATGCCTACATAGATGCATTATGCACCATCGCCAAAATCAGGTGCTGCATCTTTGTTGTATCTATGGTGTTAGTGGTGGTGTCAAAAGTGTCAGCCAATACTGTCTCTCCAGGATCCCTCTGTCCCTTCAAAACAAAAAAGATGCCTTGTGCTTCTTTCATATCTCAAACAATATATACACGACAACGCTCTGTATTATAATTATCCTGTTTCAGAGACATTAGTATTGATTAGGTTTTTTGCATCTTACTCCTTGGTTGCCATCTATAGCCTCATATTTTGGCATTTTGCCTTGAGGTTAGGTGCTCGGCAGAGAATAACTAGCACGAGCATATGAAGATTGGGCTTAATTGTGAAATGCTTCTTCGTTTCCATGTCTTTACAGTATATCTTAATATTTATGTGCAGATTTGACAGACTAGAAAACCTTGAACCTCCATATTATTAATTGAGTCCCTAAAATTCTAGACACTAATGTCAGACTGATATCTGGTCCAACCAATAAAAGGAAGAGATACGTGTATCCGTTCTTGAACGATAAAACCATTCTACAGTTGACAGTTTGTATGGTCCACATTGGGCTGAAACTTTGTCAGATATATGCACTTTTTTCCATTTAAATTACTAAAGATGGCATTGCTGCCTTAGTTTAGGGCCTAATTTTTGAGAGGATTCACAGTGTCCTCTTTTTATTGATGGTTCCCCTCAATATCGCAGAGCTGGATGCTTCCCCAGTTTTGGAGTCCACCTCAGCTTACATGGGTCACCCAAGCAGTCTTGGGCTCCCAATACGTAGGCAAAAGGTGGTTTATTTGCTTGACACACTCAACTTAGTGCAGTTTTAATTTATTTTTCTCCTTGCAAATGAACCACGAAGCAAATAAAAATACTTTGCCTGCAGTAGTGGGTTGAGTAAAGAACAAATTTTTGAGAGGATTCACGGTGTCCTCTTTTTATTGATGGTTCCCCTCAATATCGCAGAGCTGGATGCTTCCCCAGTTTTGGAGTCCACCTCAGCTTACATGAGTCACCCAAGCAGTCTTGGGCTCCCAATACGTAGGCAAAAGGTGGTTTATTTGCTTGACATTCTAAACTTAGTGCAGTTTCAGTTTATTTTTTTCCTTGCAAATGAACCACGAAGCAAATAAAAATACTTTGCCTGCAGTAGTGGGTTGAGTAAAGAACACCATAGAATTAACATGCTATTTTTTAATGCTCCATTTCTATATGGCTGTTTGGTTAAAAAGGGGTTTACATGGACTGTTTATGAAGCAAAAAAAAAAAAACTTCCTTGGGTGGTGCTGGCTTTTTACGTGATGTGGTGCGCTAGAATGAGCCACTTTCGCAGCTGCTGTATGTACCTCCGACCCTAAGTTTTCATAGTACGCTTTTTCCAGATTGCTGTTAAAATCTTTCACATTTTTACGCAATTGATATCTAATGCAACGCTAACATCTACTACAATCTCTGCAAGTATAGAATGTGATCTCTCAGATGTTTAGGATGCATTTCCTAACTCAATTCTTATCGTATACAACTGCGTATAAGTTTTCTTGAAAAGGTCAGTTCGCCGGTTTTGGTAATATTGGGCCGACGTGCAATGCTTGAATACTTCCATGAACAATGAGGCTTCAAATTCCTCCTTTGCTTTCTCAAACATGGGAAACACCTGAATTTGGAAATTATTAATTCATCACTTCCAAGCTGTTGTTGATTCATCCACAGGTTACATATCCCTGCCAGATGATGGCGCCACTTCCGCTTTCCATTCACCAGGTACACTACAGCTGCATTCCATCACATTTGTTTTAGGCTGCACTAAATCCTCTGCCCTAGACAACAACAAACAAACACATAGCTATCTTACCACTCGGTCTCTATTTTGCAGGTTGCTTAACAGGATTATATGAAAATTCAGGTGAAACACTGTTGCCACAAAAACACAGCACACTTCCATTCTACCTACACACATCTAACATGCTATAGTATATGAACAGTATCGTATGGCTGCCAAAGCATGGCCTCGTTCACCAGCGCCATCTCTCATCGTCAAGCAAAGTACTAAGAAGACTCCCGTAGAACCATCGGCAGCTATGCAGTTATACCTAATGTAACATACAGGCCACCATGACATGTGCTATATACCTATGTATCATCATCGATTTGTTCTACAGCATATGTAATATACACCTCCCGAACATATATCTAACCACACGTTTATCGCCTCCGCGCACGAGGGCGCGTCACTAGTCAAAATTTTATCTCAAACGATGCAGAAGTACTTGCCGTGAACTGCCGCGAACAAGCAATAACTGCTGCCACAGCTCAAGTATGCTCGTGATATCAACCAAGAGTAAGTTATGCACGATCATACAAAGCTAGGAAACGATTGTTGAGATATATTAAAAAGTGAATCATCTATCACTTGTTCTGTGAGGGGAAAAAAAACACAAACACACCAATCCACAAGAGTATAAGACAGAAAATAAAGGGAGCTCAGAACACGACAGTCTTCTTCAGTTCATATGGTAGGACACGGAGCTCGCAGTATGACTTGATAGCCTCTGCTAGGCACTGCCTCTCAAGGTTCTCAGACTTGACAACAAAACTCTGTAACGTGTCTCGGTGAGAAACTCGTTCAACCTGCAGCACAGGAAAAAAACAAGAGAAAAACTAAATCTCCAACCGCCAACTGGAAATAGGCAAGATTAAAAGCGTCATGTTTTAGTATAACTTCACATCCATGAATCTCACTGCACAACAAATGTCACAGAGCTCTGATGGCAACTTATAAGTCATGGTGCAGTGTTTTTCTCTCACAACAAATCAGCGAAAGTTCAAGCGAACCGGGCTGCCGTAGGGTCCCCTTGAATGAAGGTCAGTGCTAATTACTATGTGAAACCCTACAGTCTTAGGCTAAAAGGGATTCTAAAAACAAATGGACTGTGCGTTCAAAAAAAATGAACTAACTGTTTGCCAAAGACGATTCCACTCATCGATAGACAAAATCTGGCATACATCATGTATAGTTTACTACCAATTGTAACTGATGATGCAATCCATCAATTTGACACCTAAGTTAGCTGCTGAGTGAAAAGTATGAATACCATCTGTTCAATGATTGGCCCAGCATCAAGTTCCTGAGTAACGAAATGGCTAGTTGCCCCGATTAACTTCACCCCAGCATTGAAGGCCTGAAAAATGGTACATAATAATACATCTTGTTCTTTTTTCTTTTTTAAAAAGTAGACACCAGATTAGGTTAACACAAGTGTGATACCTGTCTTGAAGGATTCCCTCCCTTAAACGAGGGAAGAAGGCCATGATGAATATTGATAATGTCTTTACCATATGCTTTTAAGAAGCTTTCTGAGAGTATCTGCAAGGAAAAACGAATATGTGTCAAAGATATATGGGTGAGGTGACACAAGTCCGTATTAAACGTTGATGCTGACCTTATGGCCATAGAGATGAAAAGGACAATGATATGCCAGCCTGCCATTTTCTGTTCTATGCAAAATGGCTTTATAGAAGTGGAAGAATTTTGTTTAGAGGACAAGAAAAACAGGTAGCTTATATTATTATCGGAAACCAGGGAAGGTTGAGGTAGTGAAAAGCTCTGACTTCATCTGCTCAGAGAGACACTGACTAAACATACTGGGTGTCCCTAACACAAACAACAAGCTTTTAGTGTTATATATTACATCTAAAAAATAAAGACAAGAAGCTCTGGAGAATATTCAAAGGGCGATCTGAGTTTTGTATGCCTCATACAGATCATGCGACGCTAGCACTTTGCTCGTTTTTCACAATCTTTTGGCATTAACTCTGAACTAGGGATAGTAAGATACTTAGAAGAAGAAAAAGGGGGAAAAAGAAAGAAGGAGCACTCTTTACCTGCATGTATCTTGCCAGGACAACAAAATCTGTACCCTGGATCAATTCCAAGATCTCTTGCTCTCTTTTGTTGGCAGGTGCGGTGGGTAAGTAGTGGTATGGGATTCCATGCCTCTGGAGAAAACGCCGTACATGATTATCTTGTGGTCTATCATGGTTGCTGTATACAGTGAAGGAGTGTATATATGTATCTGAATGAGAGGTGTTTGCTTTTGCTGGAGGAAAGGAGGCTGACATGACAACTAACATATGGATGGGGCCAAACAGAAAAACAAAAAAACCCAGTTGTGTAATAAAATAAAAATAAAGAAAAATTTGACCGGCCTTAATATTACCTTATGACACAATTAATGTGTACTGGAAGCCTGCCTTCTTGCCATCTATGGAGCAAATCGAACAAGCAGTGGTCCTAGAGCGAAGAAGAGAAATGGTTGCTATTGGTACATATATACTGACTGAAGGGAAGGCGGCTTAACCATCCAAAACAGGTTAGGTGGTACGGAACGGAAGGGCTGGGAAACAGAGAAAGGAAAGGAAGCTAACTAACCTGCTTTGATGCGAGGATGGAGATGTTGTATTTGGGGTCAAGATCGGGTACTCGTACGGTGGATGTTTGTGCATTGAAGCAGCGGGAGAGATTGAGGAAATCGTTGTGGAGCTCATGACGCGGCCAGAGCCTTGGGTTGTAGGTGAACTCACTGGAATGTCAAACAAACATGCTGCAACCCATCCATCCATCCAAATCCAATAGTAGAGTCGACTCAGAGGCAGACGCCCATACCATACCTGCGGGAGTAGAAGACGGGCTTGTCGTCGGGGACGAAGACGTCGACGCTGTGGATGTTGCCGCCGCGGGAGGCGATGCATTCCGAGAGCTTGGCGACGATGCCAACGGCGTCCTGCGTTTGGGAAACAATCGGGAATGGAAATGGATTAGGCCGGCGAGGGCGCGGCAGAGGAATGGAGGTGGTAGGGTAGGGTAGGGTACGCACGGGGCACTGGAAGAGATGGATGCCGAGGAGGTTGCCCGCGGGGACGGCGGCGGAGAGCGGCCGGCGCGCCAACGACAGCATCGCATTGGATGGACGGACGGATGGATGGGTGGGGGTGGGGCACGAGGAGGAGAGAGGAGGGGAGAGCAGGAGCAGGAGCAGGAGCAGCCGCAGCCGGTAAGGCAGAGAGCCAGAGGCGGTTGGTGGATGGATTCCTCGCCTCCTTCGGTTCGGTGGATCCGCCGTTGGACCGCACGCACACCTGCTCTGCTATTCTTTTCTTTTGATTGAATGTGGCTGGAAAAATGGTTTAGGCTGATGACGACGATACTAATTTGTTGCGAGAGAAAAATACTCTTATTTTACGAAAACAGTATGGCAGATAAGTTCAAGCGAACGGGCGGTCTACTACGCCTGCTACTGATGAAACACTGTATCAATGAATGGATGCCTATATTTATCGGTGACGACGATGGTTGCCTCCCCTGGGACTGGGACTCGGAGGGACAAGAGTGTTAGAATCGTTGTGTATCTTTCTGTCTAATCATAGATCCGGGTAAGGCTCCTCACCTTAGCGTAGTTGGGCCGCAGCAACGTATACGCCAAGTTCGCTCTGGATGCCGCCTCGCGGACGCCGGTGCTTGGCACGGTGGTGAGGAGGCGAGGTGGCGATCCAGTGGACTGGTGGAGACCCTGCAGAGGCGACGACGGTGTGGTGGGGCATCCTGTCGCTGGCAGCACACTGTAGATCGGATTAGGGTTTCTATCGATGGGATCATGGCGGTTCAGACCAACCTCGTGACTGGAGCCGTGATCTCCACCTATCTTTAAATGTGCTGTGCGACAGGGGGCCCATCAACCTATTAGGGTTGGGCGCTCCCGATTAAGGCGCAGAGGCAAGGGCCCAATAGGCCGTTGGTCGAGATCAACTAACATTCTCCCCCTTGATCTCATTCCATCTTTTAATTTCATATCATTTACTTTTGTTCATTCAATTACAGATTAGCGCATAAAGCATGTCTCATCGTCACGGTCCATTGCCGATGGATTTAACAGCTACAACACACTACTCTGTTCTGAAATAGATACTTATCTTTGGGCCTTCTTTTGTCCAGAAAATTTAGGCTTTCCCTTAAACCCATGCTAGCTACATGTTCTCTGAACACGTTGGGTGGTAAGCCTTTTGTAAGCGGATCCGCGAGCATCTTTTCTGTACTTATATGCTCAAGACTTATGACTTGATCCCGGACTTTATCTTTCACAACATAATACTCTATGTCAATATGTTTGGCGGCACCACCTGACTTATGTTGTGAGCATACTGTACTGCCGGATTATTATCGCAGTATAACTTAAGTGGTCTATAGATATCGTCAACCACCTTCAAACCGGGTATGAACTTCTTTAGTCAGTTTACCTGCCCGTTGCCTCATAACACGCTACAAACTGTCACATATTGTGGACGATGTAGTGATGGTTTGCTTTGAGCTTTTTCATGAAATAGCTCCCCTTTGCGAGAGTGAATATATATCCAGACATGTATTTTCTATCATCTCTCGCATAATCAGAATCTGAACATCCCCACTATATAGAGTGAATCAGACCTTCTATACGTCATCATGAGGCCTTTCGTTCCTTACAAATAACGCAAGACTTTATTAATTTTCAGTGTTTTGTTCCAGAATTGCTCTAAAATCTGCCAAATAACCCGGTAACAAATGTCAAGTCAGGGCGCGTCCATACTTGAGCATATTGCAAGCTTCCGACAACTGAAGCGTATGGAACCACTTTCATTTGATCGATCTCATATTGGTTCCTAGGTATTTAAAATCTCCATATCTGTCGCCCTTGACTATAGGAACAGGTAATGGACTATATTTGTGCATACAGAATTTCTTTAAGATCTTTTCTATGTATGCCTTTTGTGACAGTCCTAATGCCCCTTTTTCTTCTATCTCGGTGAATCTTGATCCCTAGAACGAACGAAGCTTCACCAAAATCTTTCATATCAAATTTTGAGAACAAAAACTTCTTTGTCTCCAGTAGTAGACTAACAACACTACTAGCAAGTAAGATATCATCCACATATAGGACAAGGAAGATAAACTTTCCATTCTTAAACTTTGTATAGGCACAATTGTCCTCTACATTCTCTTTAAATCCAAAATTCTTTATTGTCTGATCAAACTTCAAGTACCACTGTCTTGAAGCTTGTTTTAATCCATAAATGGTTTTCTTTAGGCGGCATCCCATTCGTTCTTTTCCTTCCATGACAAAACCTTTCGGTTGTGCCATATAAACATTTTCCTCCAAGTCTCCGTTGAGAAATGTCGTCTTTACATCCATCTGATGTAATTCTAAATCGTAATGTGCCACTAATGCCATTATGATTCTGAAGAAATCCTTACATGAGACTGAAGAAAATGTCTCATTGTAATCAATCATTTCTCTTTGCGTAAAGCCTTTTGCCATAAGTCGGACTTTATATCTGTCTATATTCCCTTGAGAGTCAAGCTTTGTTTTGTAGACCCATTTACAGCCTACTGTTTTGGCTCATTTAGAAATTATTTCCAACTCCCAAACTTTATTGACATTCATTGATTTCATTTCATTTTCCATAGCCTCAAGCCACTTTGATGAATAATCGCTTCTCATAGCTTCTTAAATGAGGTGGGATATGTAGGATTTTAAAGAGAATGTAGATGACAATTGTGCCTATACAAAGTTTAAGAATGGAAAGTTTATCTTCCTTGTCCTATATGTGGATGATATCTTACTTGCTAGTAGTGTTGTCAGTCTACTACTGGAGACAAAGAAGTTTTTGTTCTCAAAATTTGATATGAAAGATCTTGGTGAAGCTTCGTTCGTTCTAGGGATCAAGATTCACCGAGATAGAAGAAAAAGGGGCATTAGGACTGTCACAAAAGGCATACATAGAAAAGATCTTAAAGAAATTCTGTATGCACAAATATAGTCCATCACCTGTTCCTATAGTCAAGAGCGACAGATATGGAGATTTTAAATACCAGGAACCAATATGAGATCGATCAAATAAAAGTGGTTCCATACGCTTCAGTTGTCGGAAGCTTGCAATATGCTCAAGTATGGACGCACCCTGACTTGACATTTGTTACCGGGTTACTTGGCAGATTTTAGAGCAATTCTGGAACAAAACACTGAAAATTAATAAAGAAAGTCTTGTGTTATTTGTAAGAAACGAAAGGCCTCATGATGACGTATAGAAGGTCTGATTCACTCTATATAGTGGGATGTTCAGATTCTGATTATGCGAGAGATGATAGAAAATACATGTCTGGATATGTATTCACTCTCGCAAAGGGGAGCTATTTCATGGAAAAGCTCAAAGCAAACCGTCACTACATCATCCACAATGTGTGACAGTTTGTAGCGTGTTATGAGGCAACGGGCAAGTGAACTGACTAAAGAAGTTCATACCCGATTTGAAGGTGGTTGACGATATCTATAGACCACTTAAGTTATACTGCGATAATAATCCGGCAGTACAATATGCTCACAACGTAAGTCAGGTGGTGCCGCCAAACATATTGACATAGAGTATTATATTGTGAAAGATAAAGTCCGAGATCAAGTCATAAGTCTTGAGCATATAAGTACAGAAAAGATGCTCGCGGATCCGCTTACAAAAGGCTTACCACCCAACGTGTTCAGAGAACATGTAGCTAGCATGGGTTTAAGGGAAAGCCTAAATTTCCTGGACAAAAGAAGGCACAAAGATAAGTATCTATTTCAGAATAGAGTAGTGTGTTGTAGCTGTTAAATCCATCGGCAATGGATCGTGACGATGAGACATGCTCTATGCGCTAATCTGTAATGAAATGAACAAAAGTAAATGATATAAAATTGAAAGATGAAATGAGATCAATGGAGAGAATGTTAGTTGATCTTCACCAATAGGTTGGGCCCTTGCCTCTGCGCCCTGATCAGGGGCGCCCAACCTTAATAGGTTGGTGGGCCCCTGTCGCACAGCACATATAAAGATAGGTGGGGATCACGACTCCAGTCACGAGGTTGGTCTGGGCCGCCATGATCCCACCGATAGAAACCCTAATCCGATCTACAGTTTTCTGCCAGCGACGGGATGCCCCACCACACCGTCGTCGCCTCTGCAGGGTCTCCACCGGTCCACTGGATCGCCACCTCGCCTCCTCACCACCGTGTCGAGCACCGGCGTCCGCGAGGCGGCATCCAGGGCGAACTTGGCGTCTACGTTGCTGCGGCCCAACTACGCTAAGGTGAGGAGCCTTACCCGGATCTATGGTTACACAGAAAGGTACACAACGATTCTAACAAGGTGAGAAAGAAATAGCTTGCCAACTACCACCCAGTTCGCTTATGCTGATGCTTATACTGAAATGTTGTAAGAAGAAAATACTCTTTCACGGCTGAATTCATCATCGCATCGGCCTCGGATTCATTCATTCATTCATTTGCTTACATACAGATACAGAGCCCAAATTTCTAGTGCTACCGTTAGTTCATGTTTCGCATTGCACAAAGCCAGGACACCGGCAGACCAATAAACTTGAGAGAATAAAACCAGCTCTGAAAAAGAACCTTCTCTAAACATAAGTCGAAATTAGAAAATCTATCGCGCAAGATTCACTGCTGATAGGGCAAAATGGAAAGCCGAGAAACTCCAAATGCACTAATTCCATGTCAGACTATGACACGTCGCACTAAGACGCTATACCTTTTTTTCTTCTTCAAAAGATGCTGTATTTTGCCTGTGACTGACTGAGCGCCATTTCTTCGTGCTATCGCGGCACTTCACCAGGCCAGATTGGTAAGTCAAGTGGGTTCCCCCGGCAAGGCCCGAATGCAGCTCCTAGCTGTTTCCCCTGTCACTCTGTGGGAAGGAACCATGAGATGGACCACCTTCATCACAAACAAAAATGACTTGTCACTCAGATTCATTTAACAGAAGCAGCACATCTATGGCAGTACATCTGAAGCCATCCCTCTGTGATCTGGAGCAGTATCAAAAATTCAAAAACCACAAGTAGAGCACTACACACGCTACAGCTTTCTTCTCTGTTAGGAGCTAGCCCTCGCCCCAGCAGCAAATAAGCAATGCACAGGACCATCTCCTCTTACACCCAAAAACAACCGAGTACCAGCCACACCACAAAGAAGGCTGAGTAATGTCATCCTGATCCGCTACTCCACCGCGCAATCGCTTCTCCCATCCTCACCTTGTCGCCAGCCCTGATGCAGAAACCGAAATCTGCTCCTCCCTCCTCCTCCTCCTCCTCCCTTGCCCTGCACTTGGACACAGGAGCTTCAAATACCACCACCACGGTTGATCCCATCTTGAATCCTGCTACCTGCCAACAATTGCGCTTCTTCCAGTTACCACTCCCAATATCTTTCTTAAAAATATAATATAGCTCTAGCTGCTACACTGCAGTAGCAGCTCAGGCAAGGACAATGTACCTCTTCACCCTTTTTAACCATCACGCCAGTCCCTTCCGGTTCATAAACACGTTCCTCAGGAGGCATTGAGTCAACCATCCTTGACGCTGTCCTATTTGTCCTCAGCTCAGGTTCAATACTTATCTGCCACCCAAAAATACCATCCGTTAAAAGCTTCACAAATTCATTGGCAACCGGCATTCATTTTTCACAGCACGAGAAATTACCCTGATTGATCCAACATTAGTAGCACCAATTGCTGCAATTGCAACAAACCCTTCTTTCCATTGCCCTTCAAGCACTACCTGTCATTAACAGCCATCGAAAACCAGATTTTACTTCTCCTCGTCAACTTGCTTCCATATCTGAAACGAATGCTAAAACAGCTAAGCAAAATTACCCTTTCGTTATCAACGTACAGGTTTCTGATGGTCCGCACAGCACGTTCATTCTGAGGGAAAAGATGGCCTGCAAATACACTAGGATTGTATTGTATCACTCCTACATCAACCTACCACATTAGTCTGGTACTGGTAGGGTATGGACAAACCTGAGAAATGCCGACGTTTCAAAATGTTCCAATCAACAGGAGAATGGACTCGATGATAATCACCAGGGTGCAAATATATGACACAGTAAAACATGCCTTTCTTTGGGCTGGCAAGGACAAGTCAAATTAATACCACAAAATTGTCAAAACATAGGCACGCTAAACAGTAGTAACAGATTTTTTTTTGTATTTTATAATCACCTTGAAATGAAGGAAAAAAGCAAACTGCTGGTCTGAGATAAAATATCTCAACTCACAGTATTGTACAAAAGTGAAGTTTTATCATGACTCAAGAAGATAATTTGCACATTAATATCACAGCTTTGTGCAGCATGCTGGAGTTATGTGCTATTAGACATTGTTGTTGAAATGTTCAGATATAAAGGGTGATAAAAAAAACACATAACCATGCATGAAGTAGAGTTAATTGCAAGCGAATATGCTTTTTTGTGTACTGTTGCATGGTGGGAAATAATATGTTAATCGATGTGAACTTGGTGAGTAGCTTATGCAGTTGTATCAGAAATTTGTGATTCTAAATCATCCTTTATTTCTGGTATAAATACCTCGATAGTGTTTGATCCCGTAGTTTAGGTGAAGCAATTGATACTCGCCACCATGATTTTGCATTACAATTCTCAGGCATATTATCCTGTATCTGCTCCCCAGAAAGTTCTTCTGCGGCATCGTGAAGGGATGAACTCGTGCCAAGAAGAGAAGAAACAGAATAAGAAAAGCCTTTCACTTGCTCAATCATGGTTCCTGGACCTCTTAGCTCTCCAAACCTCAAAACTCGACCATCCACAGGACTCACCTAACGGTACAATTGAACACAATACAGATCAGTCTTTAGTCATCACCATATCAGACTAATGGCTATACAGAATAACTATCATGTTACCAGTTACCAGACAGTTTGGATCTGGATCAATGGGCCTCGCTCCTTCTTTGAGACCGTGGATGAAGAATGCCTGCAAAGACGGATATTCTTCTAGAGGAAGAGCGACTTCTTGCAAATCTACAGTATTCAGGGGTCAGCATTTCATTCCAAATGAGTGGCAAAGTTTTTGAAAACAGTGACATAACAACTATCAAGTTCTCATGAGTACGAAAAAGATGAAAACATGTATAAGCTATGCTATTAGGCAATGGTTTCTTCCAACAACAGGCCTCTAAGAACCAGTAAGTTATTACAGCGACCATTAGAGCAGTAAGCATTTACATGGCTATAGTATATATCAGGGGAGGAACCCTATCTATCACTATTCAGGGTACAAACATGCATATCAGAAACAGTTGCTTTAAATGAAGCACAGGGTAAGTAGAGACTGGTAAAAAAAAATGGCAGATGAACTTTGCATTGACGCAAAATAAGAAGGCATCAGCAAAGGTAAAGACATACCAGAGTGAAATGCTCTAGCCCATGCTTTGTAGATGGTCGGGCGCATGAAAACTGGGACATCCTGCACTGCAAGTGATGATACTATCAAAGAGCAAAGACGGAAAAGAATTTATCAGCTTGTATGGATAGAGGAATACGAACCACTTCCATCAAGATTCCCCAGAAACGTGACATAGTACGCAATGGTAGGAGCCTAAAAAATGAAGCCTGTATTGCAAATGACACCATTCTGCAGTGAGAAGGCAAGGTACAGGAGTGACAGATGGTTGTGCTAACTAGAGTAGCAGTACCCTGATATCTGGCGAGAATTGTGGTTCAATTCCTTTGTCCTTGCTTTCGATGACCTTCATGAAAATGAATTCCAGACCCCAGACATTTAAGTATGCATGGGTGGAACATTGTAATGTAACTAGTACTTTTTGGAGTAAGTAAAACGCACAAATGCATGGCTTACTTTCTTGTCATCATACATACGTCTAGCATGTAGAGCGCCAAGCATGGCAAGAACTGCGGCTGTTGCACCAGGCAGAAAGAATTTGCTTGAACCTTTGCCTATAGTAGAAAATAGAACATCGAGTTGAGATCGAAGAAACGGAGTATATATTGGCAGACGTCGCTCAAGGAGGGGAAGTATTCATCAGTAAAGTAAATTAGTAGGAGCACAAGAGAACTCCTTTCTGCTGTGGGAGTTGTGGGAGGAGAGGAGAAGCGCGGCGAAGAAACTGACGTTATTGGTGAAATGAAGGGAAAAAAAAATGATGTGAAGCAGCGGCAGCGGCGGCGGCGGGAGGCGTGAGAAAGAAACTAAACCGTGGGAGTCGGCGGCGGCATGGATGCCACGGGAAGGAGGGCGGCGGCGGCGGCGCGCTGAGTCGAGGAGCAGCCATGGTAGGCGAACCTCGAACCCCATCGTCTTGCTCTTCCCCAAATCCAATCCAATCGGCTCCTCCTTAAGGTAGCTGAGCTGCAGGCTCAGAGGCTGATGTTCTGCTATGCTCGTTCGTCAGACTCACAGTTAAGGCGAAAACCTTCTTTTTTTTTTTGCCATTAAAAAAAGATCGCAACGTCACTTCTAGAAAAGCTCAGTGGTCTTCAGCGTCACTACTCCAATTTTTTTGTGCCCTCCATGCCACTGGCGTTAGTTTGAGCTCTAACGGCGTCGAACTGCAGGTGTAAAAAGTCAAAAATACCTTTAAGTTTAAATATGTCATTAATTTTTTTGAGCATCTTAACGACTTCAAATGAAAAAAATTAAAACTAGAAAGTTGTAGATCTCGTCGAGATCTATAATTTTCATATAAAAATTATTTTCATTTAATTTCGCAAAAAAAGATATGATTTTTCTAAGATATATTAATCATATCAAATCATATTTTTTTGTGGAATTAAATAAAGATAATTTTTATATGAAAATTATAGATCTCGACGAGATCTACAACTTTTTAGTTTTGAGTTTTTTCATTTGAAGTCGTTAAGGTGCTAAAAAAAATTAATAACATATTTAAACTTAAGGGTATTTTTGACTTTTCACACCTGTTAGCTTGATTTCACGTTAGTGCCTCAAACCGACGGCAAGCGATGGCATGAAAACACAAAAAAGTTAGAGCAAATGATACCAAGACCTGTTGAACTTTTTCGAGATGCAATACGTGAGCATTGCGATCTTTTTTAATGGCACACAAAGATTTTCCCCTCTATTTTTTCCAGTCTTTTTTACCAGTAGGGAGACTATCCGAATTATAATTCTTTTTGGCCAAGCCAAAGTTCGGAAAAGGCTTTTTCTCCTTTTTTGCCGAGCGAAAGATTGAAAAAAACTTGGGCGGCAGCACGACGAATCGTACTACAGTATTATATTACTAGGATTATTACAATTAGACAGTTGACACACCACCAACTTCTTGTCTAGACAATGACAAAACCGGCAGAAGAAACCATATATATGGCAGACAGTTGATCTGGTAAAATTGGTACAGGAAGAGTAAAATTGTTACCAATCTATTTTTTTTGGTTGAAAATTCAACAACTAGATTAGATCTGTGCTATCATATATCGTCATCTGCGTTCGTTCGGTCGTCGGATACATATGAAAATAACCACACGCTCATTCGGATGGGACGGTTCCATACTATTATATTGCGATCCATCCTATAGCCTGTTCGGTTGACTGATTCATATCGTTGCTGGTTCGATTTATGTGAGAGAGAAACACTGTTGTTAGTTCATGTAAATGTAAATAGTGTCCATGTGAGGGGGCTGGCCAGCCAGCCCGCCCCAGCCGAACACGACGTCCTCACTTCGATCCTAGAGCCTATAAAGGAATGACCTCCACATCATCGTGCTCACTCTTCTCTGCTTCATGCTCAGCTCCGTTCTCCAGGGCCGCAGGACCACGGTTCTCTGACATGCTCATCTCTTGAACTGGAGGTGGGTTCACAACAGTCATGGGCACGGCATTGTTCTCTGCCAGCCGTCCTCTCCTCTCGCGATGCTCCTGGCAGTTGGCACACCAGTGCAAGCAGCAGTGGACCATGCATGGGTCACACGGAGAGTTCTGGAGCAAAACAAGACAACAGCAACTAGTTAGCTAGCTGTACGTGCACAGCCACAGGGAGAGTTAGTTAGCTGTAACTTCTTAACAGTGGAAAGCAGCCAAGATAGATTGCACCTTGAGATGATATTTCCTCTGAAGTTCCTGGCGGAAGATGCCAGTATAGGTAGCACATAACCACCAACTGCACACCAGACCTTCTCCAATCAGGAATGAACTCCTTGGATCAACACCATGAAATATTGCTGTCAGAATCGCCAGCGTGATCCCTCCTTCAACAAACACAGCATGGCACACGCAAGGAGTTGTCCAAGGGATGTCCTCCCTAAGAGCCTCCACGTTGCGCCCAAACAGCACGCACGGGCAAAACAACCCAGTTCGGCCTAGTGTCACAATGAACAGACAATTTGATAGTTACATGATCTTCCGCTAGCTACCTTTCTTTCAAATCAGCATTCTAGAAATAGCATTCATACAAATATGGACAAAGAGATAAATGACGCACAAAGCCAAATATGGTATTAAAGTGCTGCAAAGAAAGCAGTTATGTTAATCTTTGATAGTTCGACAATCCGAACCTGATTATTTCATAGAGCACAGCGATGTATAAAAGTGCTACGCAAAGTAACATTTGATCAGGCATAGCAAATGCCTAGGGAAAAACAAAGAAAAATGCCCCTGGACTTATGAGTCATATCATAAGGAATACAAGAAGCATTCTATCCTTTGAAACATGTAAAGAATCCATAGTACCATGACGATTCTTGGTACTGAGCACAATTTCAGTCAGACACACCATTGACATATAATGCTCATAACACGATTTATCACAAAATAGCACCATCTTCTGTTAAGTCTCTGCACATGGCAGATCATAAAACATGGGCTCAGTGGTGGACCCAAAGCTTTTAAGGAGCCCAGGAGGTTTGGACTAAGCAACAGATTTGGCTTAACCTAACCTCCTCTGTATGTAGGCTACACAATAATTAGAACCAGAGGAATTGGATGCTGAGCCCAGGCAGGGGTGTATCCACATTAAACGGTGGGAAAAAACAGAATGTTCAGGTATTTCTTTCATTCTTTGCACTGCTAGGTCAATTGTCAAAATACCTTGTCATAGGGCAACATTTTAAGGAATGATGTTCTTCTATTCATGTTGGGGGGGGGGAGGGGGGGGGGGGAGGAGCAAGTTAGAAAAATGAATGTATGAACCAGACATTTTGGACTGATTATCATTGTGAGAGGTGGAAAGCAACCCTCAGTTGTATTCAGAATTGCCCAGCCGGTTAAGTACATGTACATCGTATGAATCATCAATCAATCAGCAAACTACCCTAGCTATACTTCAGGAGAACCATGGAGCATGGGCGACGTGGGAGCAAGTATCTTGCTAACAAACGGAAATGTTGAATGATGCATGTATATTGGCGCTGAGACATCTGTGGCTAAAAGTTTTCGCTAATTTTTTTTTGACAGAATCGGACCACCATGGCCAAGTCCAAATAGCATTTCCCACACCAACGAAATGCCACATCAGACCCTGAATCCAATGTCCATCCGAAGAGCATGAAACGAGGGGCAATTAATGCCTCAATCAATCAATGGACTCTGCCTACCAATGCGCCTGATTTTCATGGAATCCACCATGAAAAGCCTCCAAAAACCCACATGACTCGACAGATAATGACGATGATGCAGGCTTTGTGATTGACGCGGGGACTGCAATGGTAGATCAAGGTGATAGCAGGCCGACGCGATGCACATGCACCCCTGCCTGCTCCTGGTAGTGTTGACTAAAAAAGATAATGCAACGAGCTATTTGGATGTTTGCCACCGTAAACATTGATGGGTGAGGTTGAAGAGAGATTAGATTACATACAGGTCTCGGGGTCATCGGTGCATCCGAAGATCCCGGTGGTCCAGGGCTCGTCGGCGGGCGGCTCGTAGCTCTCGGGCAGGACCTGGCCGCACTCGCTGCACCTCCGGCCTTCGAGCTGGTGTCGGACAAGGGAGTAGGGATGAGATTCAGATCGGACTCATCGGAGGAGGGATACATACCCTAGGGAGAGAGCGAAACCTGCGGGACGTGTACTGGCTGGTTGAGCTCGCCGGGGCGGATGTCCTCGGCGGGGGCGTCCTGGTCCTTGGTGAGCTTGATGTAGCGTGACGGGTGGCTGCTCGTAGCATCCTCCGCCATGGTTGGCCGGATCGGAGGCGACGAGGAGGAAGATTGGAGGAGTAGGCGAACCAGATCTCTCTGCTCTGCTGCCTCCCCCTCCTCGGTCTTGATGGGCCTTCGTCTGCGTGTCTCCTTCGGACCGACTGACCGGGCCGGTGGTGGGCCGATAGCTCACATCTGCGGGCAGGAGTAGCAGGCCGGGCCTTGATCAAGCCCAAGCTAAACTACTACTCCAATCCAATCCCAAGTTCCAGTCCATCCATCCAAGAAAGAAAACGCGGATGAATCTGCCTCGACGCTGCTGTGGCAACTGCCAAGAAACAGACGGACCATGGTTAAACTAGGACCAACCAAACCAAACTACGTAGGCGTTGAGTTGAGGGAGTTACCTTGACAGCAACATTCGTCGACCCACAAGGCACGTCTCCGCTAAAAAACAATCATCACTCCAAGTCCCATTGCATATATAAATCAATCAGCAGCAGCGCATGCGCAAGCACAACAATAACACAAAGGGTTCGATCGACCTCAAGCTATAGCAAGAATGGCAACTTACGCTTCATCCTCCTCCCTTGCCTGCCTCTTCATCGTCTTCCTTGTATCCTCGGCTCTACCCGGAAGCCATGGCAGCAGCATTGCCATCTACTGGGGCCAGAACGGCAACGAGGGCACCCTCGCCGACACCTGCGCCACCGGCAACTATGCCTTTGTCAACATCGCCTTCCTCTGCAGCTTCGGCTCGGGGCAGAAGCCGCAGCTGAACCTCGCGGGTCACTGCGACCCCTACTCCGACGCCTGCACAAACCTCACCGCAGATATCAACTCCTGCCAGTCCAAGGGCGTCAAGGTCATGCTCTCGGCGCTGGAGGCTACTCCCTCAACTCCAAGCAAGACGCCTTCAAGCTTGCCCAGTACATCTGGAACAATTTCCTCGGTGGGCACTCCGACAAGAGGCCGCTTGGCGACGCCGTGCTCGACGGCGTCGACTTCGACATCGAGGGAGGAAACCCTGACTATTATGGAGCCCTTGCGGCATACCTCAAGTCCTACGCTGCCAACGCCAAGGGCAAGGAGGTCTACCTGTCAGCGGCGCCGCAGTGTCCTTTCCCCGACCAGTGGGTCGGCAAAGCCCTTCAGACAGGCCTCTTCGACTATGTCTGGGTTCAGTTCTACAACAACCCACCTTGCCAATACACACCGGGAAGCATGGCCAACCTCGTCAATTCCTGGAACCAGTGGACAACAGGGATCACAGCTAAGTACATCTTTCTTGGCCTGCCGGCTGCACCAGATGCTGCAGGGAGTGGGTTCATACCAGTAGGAAGCCTCAAGGCGCAGGTGCTTCCCACGCTCAAGAACTCCACCAACTACGGAGGAGTCATGCTGTGGTCCAAGTTCTACGATGACCAGGATGGATACAGCTCGGCCATCAAGAACTCCGTCTGATCTCATATCTGCATGTTTCCACTCTGAATATGTGTGTGTGAGAGAGTTGTGATGTATTGTCAGTACTACTCCATATAGTTTGGCATAGTCTATATGTGCGCATACGAAATTCCATTGAATAAAAATATTTCTATTACCCTTGCATTCTATGGGTCGCTGGACTTCAATCAAGACGAATTAGAATCAACGGCTAACAATAAGTACCTTGTGCCTGGGGGTTAGGGCTCCAATCTGCATCGACATAGTCTTATCACGCCTGAAACAGATGGCCAGATAATCAAGTATGCCAAAAAAAAGGAAGGGTGATATGAACTCACTGAGTAATTTGAGACTACCTTGTAAAATATTTATCAACCAATGAGACAAAAATGCATATCATAACTTGATCTCTCATCTAATCTGGTAAGATCTCACAAGCAATATAAATGCCATATATAGATTTTCAACAAAAGCGACTGCCGATGCAAACAGCAGTTGTACATACACCTCTTAGCTAATTCATTTGGCTCGCTCATCAATTCATAAGCGTACTACTAAGCCACAGAGAAGGGGCAGGTAAGAGAAAAGAAAAGACGAATTACAGCTAGCTACATAATCCCAGATTCTTCTGATCTAGTGGGTTACAGAGACATCCCTAACTACACCTAGCTTGGGTTGCTTTGAGCAGAATCATCAGCATGACCTAGGTTAGAATCTGCCTGTCGTCTGGATGAACGCTGAAAGTAGTACCTGCAGGAGGAAAATGGTAGCACTTATTCATTAGCAAGCACATCGACCGGAAAACTCATAAAAAGAACTGTGTTCACATGGCATACACAAAAATGTCGATTCCATGGAGAGATGAGTATTTCCTGAGCAGGCGCTCTATGGTATACCATTCTGATCGTTGGGAGCCACCTTGATAACCAATTCGGGGCATGTGGATAGCCGCTTCAGAGAGAAAAAAAATGAAAACAAAATAACTGAATCTGATAGTAGCTAAAGAGATAATTGCATCAGTTCAATACTTCAATGCAAAAGAAAAAAAATGGGAACCATAGCATTTTGATAGCTTCAAAGGTGAGAAAGTGATTATAAGTTTAAAATAGCTATACAAACATGCGCTCACGATTTATAATTAAAGAAATTCCATGGACGTTTCGGTTGAACAGGATGTTTAGTGTGTAGATATTACTTGAAACAATAAACATATTGACAACTGCATGCATTGGTGAAGAGATGGGTGGCATTCAGATATTCCAAGGCATGCTTTAGATTTCTAAACAATTCTATATTAAGGAACCAAACGGGAACAATACCAGAATGCTGAGCAGCTGAGAAGGCTGCTTTTGATAAACAGAGCTCCAAATCAGACATGGAGATTTCACTTCTCGGAACTTTACGTCTCGGATTGTAAGACTGAACGATAGCTAGTGCCACCCATAAAGGTGCATCCAAACTCCAGGTACAGTTGGTTTCTGCTAAGGATGAAAATGAAATGAAGACAGAGGACAGGTTCTTGTCAAAGTAAGCCACTATAAAATAATAGAGAGGCAACATTTAGCAATTTTTTTTTCTTGAATACTCAGAAGAGTTGCAAGTCAGTGTATTAGAGAATAAAAAGGAAGGACTGGTCCCCTTACAGGAGCCCCTAGGAATGAAGACCAGTCCCTCCTTCCCCCCTCCCCATACTGCTACAACTAGGCCATAGGGGCCATAGCTAACAAACTAAAGTTCTTTGATCAAGATTAGCATAGTTCCAATGATAGTATTGGCATTGTATTTAGCAGTTACAGAAGTTCATGCATGTAAATATGGTCTAAAGTGAAATGCAATGAACATAAAAGTAATACAAATTTGTGAAGCTTGTGCTAAAAAAAACTAACCATCAAGCTGAATCAAGTGAAGATCGCCCATGTGGAGGTCATCAAATTCAGAAGCACGGTGATAAGCATCTGGAATGCATGTCGACAGACTAGTCAAAGCATCAAACATTCCTCCATGCCCCCAAGTCCCAGAATTATCTATGCAGCTGTGACAGCATTACAAATTATTTAGCACAAAAATTTGGTTCAGAGGAAACTTGGCAGAAGTCGAAGGACAAAAGATATTGAAAATCTTTCTATTTTCTTTTCTTTATGTTAAGATACATCTTAACATCAAGTTGTTGAAAACTTGATATAGATGCCCGAAATAATAAATATACAACACAAGAACTATTTTTAGACAATGGGAAAAAGAAAACACCACGATCTCTGCGTCCAAGACACAGCCATACAGGGAGAATATGGTAAATCATACAATAATAACTAGTTGAAGAATTCTAGGAAGAAGTAATAGCCTTAAGCCTTCCATAAATAGCATACTCATGTTTTTTCTTACTAGAAAGTATAAGTACCTGAATATGATGGCAGGCTTTTTAGGACAAACTTTTGAAGGATTAGTACAATCTCCATATACAAATTGGATGGATCCTGCGTCTGAAATATTCTGGCTTGCTGTGATATCAGGTTCCTTAACTGCTAGTGTCTGGTAACCCAAACTTTCCCATTTGGCCAATCTCCTTTCTTCTATTTTTTTCTTGTTAACATCACGTTTCAGGAGCTTTTCTTCAGGCGCTGCTCTTTGCCTTCCAAATTCAACTGTGGCATCTTCACTAGAACCGGAAGCCTCTTTGAACTTCTCGACCCAGGATAGGTATGCAGCTTCGTTTAGCCCAGGATCAATGCGAATAGAATCGGAAGCCCTTCTAATCACAGTTCCACTGTCATCAGTCATATTTGGATTTATCTCAAATGCTCGTTCGTCCTTTTCTGAAGACTCATGGCTACGCATCATGACAACCTTTTCAGACATTGTTTTTAACTTCGCCAGTTTCTCCACACTGATTGTCTCAGCAGTTGTATCCTCATTGATTGTTTCTGCAGCTGTATCTGCTGGATCAAACAGGTGCAAGCCAAAGATAATTGATCTCAAGTCACTAGCTTCATTTCCTGGATCTCCTCCCTTCCCATCAGTTCCATCCTCTTCTCCAATAATATTATGGCTAAGCTTAAGTTTTCTGTTGGCTCTTCGCATTATGACCTGATTCCAATTTAAAAAAAGGACAAGAAACCCAGAATTTCAAAAAAATAACTTATTCAAGAGAGCATTAGGGCTCCAACAGTAAGCCATAGTCTTTACCTCTTCAATTGTGCGCTGTGATACCAAATTTATTGACAACACATGATTCAACTGTCCAATGCGGTGAGCACGCTGTAGGGCCTGTTTGTCAGCTTGAGGATTCCAATCTTGTTCATAAAAAATAACCTAAACCAATCATCCCAATAAGCATGGATAACATATAAATAAGGTTCATTGTCATCATTAGCAGCTGTTTGGTTGGTACTAAAAACATATTTATTTAGAATAGATAAAATATTACTAGATCTAGTAGGCAAAATCATAGTCATAGGAGTAGCAATGTTATCAAGTTCAATGAGACTCACAGTATCGGCACCAATGAGATTAAGCCCCACACCACCTGCTCTAGTTGATATCATGAAAACAAATGCTCCACTTTGATTATCATCTCTGATAAGCCCTTTTGTAGATTGAGAACTGAAATTTCTTATTGCTGCAAACCGTTCCTCAGCACGTACTGAACCATCTAGGCGCTCGTAAGTGTAATTGCGTAGCTCTAGGAAATCCTATTGAAGTGATGACACAAAATAAGAGACAATGAAATGTATGCATAAGTATTAAGAGAAATAAGTCGCCTATTGTGTTAGCATCACTGGGAAAAAGAAAACCTGAAGAATGTCCAGTGTCTGGGTCATCTGAGCAAATAGCAAAACACGATGTCCGCATTCATGGAGCTTCTTCAGGACAAGATCTAGGACAATGAGCTTTCCACTAGCCTGAACAAAGATGACCATAAAATATAATTTAATACCCATGCCAGGTTAACAAAAGTCCAACCTGCTAGTTCAAATGGCCCTAGTTGGCTGCTGAGCGCGCAGGGGGCACTTTATGAGCAACTTAGAATTTCCAAATTTTCGATAACAACAAAAATGGCAGTATTATTTGACATGGTGGCACCACACCCATGTCTATTGTTTTACCAGGTTTGGCTAGCACCTGCCCATATTCTCTCTTTTTTAAAGAAAGTAAAACAAAAAAGGAAGAAAAGGGGGCTTCCTATTTACCCAGTTCTTCAATTGCATTTTCACAGCTAAACCACGAAGCCCATATGACACCAGGTAGATAGGCTCTTAGCATTTAATCTTCTAATGAAGCAGACTAACCTGAACTAAATGCTCCCCTTCCACATAAGGCTCAGGTTCAATGCCACTGAACAGATATGGGTGACTGCAAGCTTTCCTCAGTTGTATTACCTGATGAGAGTTTAGAAAAGCAAGAAATGAACAGATATGGTAGTTGGTTGTACCCCCCCTCTCTCATTCTTAACCTCCCCCTCCTTGGGGAAGTACTCTACAATACTGACATGAAGTAACATAATACCAACACTTGCACTGGAAAAGGAAATCCTTTAACTGTTTTGCTAAGTTAAGAAGTTTGACGTTCAAAAAAAAAGTTAAGGAGGAGAGGAGTATGAACATGACATCATATGAATCATAAGATTCATAACTCGATTAAATACTTTATTTTCTTCTACATGCACATTAATAAATAAATCAACTAATAAACCCACAAGGAGGTGCAAAAGCATGAATTGAAATATTGAGGGGGGAAACGATAAAATCTACATATTATGAGTTACTGCAGCAGAACATACAAAATGCTAGTTCACAAGAAAACATAGGAAGAAACAAAATTACAATGTTTTGCAAAGACTGGTGGCGAGATGATCCTCTAGTAAATGAAATAAGTGTTGGCAGCTCTTTCCGCAACACTGACATGTAAAGCTTCTTTTGTAACTGTGTCAGCGGCACCATCCTGTAAAAATCATTCATAACAAATTAAGAAGATAGAGAGGGCAAGAGCACAAAGAAATGGGAAAATATCCTCCTGAAACAAAGAACCATACACTGTTAGCTCAGTTAGTGGAGGCAGCGCCAGAATTCCACTCTCGATTAGTAAAGCTTTTGTCCGACGTAGCATAAATGCCTTGAGTATATGTTTAATGATCTTGAATTGTCCTTTTGCTTTATTAGCTTCATCACCTGTTCAGAACAAGATATTGACATTTCAGAGATCCAAAATAATTACTTTCAATGTAGAGCCCCAAAAAATAAACACAAAATCAATATGAAAGAAATGATGAGTGAATAAATGGTTGAGAGAACTGTTTGATGCAGGATCAATTGGTCTAAAACAGATTCAAATTTGTAAAGGCACTACAAGTTTTGATTTCCATGTAAAGGCATGCTCTGGTTTTGTGTGTTCTATTAAGAGAATGAGTTAGAAGGGCGGGCCTGGTGCAAGCGGTAGTCTTACCGCCTGTGACCGGAAGGTCCCGGGTTCGAGTCGCGGTCTCCTCGTATTGCACAGGCGAGGGTAAGGCTTGCCACTAACACCCTTCCCCAGACCCCGCACAGAGCGGGAGCTCTCTGCACTGGGTACGCCCTTTTTTATTAAGAGAATGAGTAGACCAAAGGATAACAGCATTAACCATTCAACACAATACACCTACACAAATATGATACAACACGAAGCATGAAGAAACTGTGCAAATTTTAGCAATAGAATATACTGCATGATGCACCAAACAAGCGCAGGTGCTACATCATGCATATAGTGCTCCCAGCTAAAGTGCACAAATGTGCTGTTGCTCAGAACAAAAGATACCTGGCAATTAACAAATGCTAAAAATGCATCGCTCAACAATTTCAATGTACCTGTCAATGATTCCCCTGCTTCCTTAAATGTAGAAAGGAACTCATCCAGCTTTCCAAATATTGAAGGCAGACAAAAGTGCATCAAAGCCCATAATTCAGAAAGGTTGTTCTGGATAGGAGTGCCTGTTAGTAGTAGACGTCTTGGCATGATGAAACGTTGCTCAAGGACATTATACAGTACCTGGAAAAGAACTTCCTGAGTCAAAGACGGAAGTTTGTTCCACGATACCATATAAAGATAAAGACAATTTTCTATGATAAGTGACCCAAAAGGACAAAATGAAAAGGTACAACATATAGCATTTGTCACATGCACACTTATCTGTATGCCTTGGCAGGTGTATATATTAACACCAACCGACAGGTGCCTAATAAATATAAATTTTACAGTTGGGTTACATGCTCAATTGAAATCTGAAAGTGCAGACCAATGCTGATCAACAAACATAAAATTGTAATTTGTTTGCTGCGGAAGTGGTAAATAGTTGAATGCCAGGAAGATTAATTTTGAGCATTGTGATGGTTCTAGCGCACACAAGCCGAATATAGATTGCACCTGAACAGCTGAACCTGAAGTCCAGAAATTGCTTGTAAAATATGAATATTTCTGCTTAGTGCCAGGTCATAGCTATTCTTTAGTTATTGCTCAAAAACGATCATTGAATCAGATCATAACTATTCTTTAGTAGTTGCTCAGTCACAATGAAGCATTATAAATGCTCTACCAAGATACTACTCAGAAGTCGGAAGTAAAGATGTTTTTCCCGTTACAGCACCGAAAGTCTGAGCTTCCATGCTACTTATAAACAAACTGATAACCCCACATGACACACAAAAATGAAGGTAGGTACAAGCTTATAGTGCTGTGGTACCAAGAGCTGCTCGGTGACAAAAGAGCAGTACCAGGAAAAAACTTTGCACATGGCAGTCATAACCATAGAATTAGTGATGCAATTGGATTTCTGAAATTCTCAGGTGAATTACAAAGATTAAGTGTCTGCTCACACTGGATGGATTTTTAAGACGTTGAGCTTCATCAATAACTGCATAGTGCCAGGGGATTTGTGAAAGGAAATCTTGATCCATCAAGGCTATGTCATATGTTGTCATGAGCACATCAAATGGTAATTCCTGTTACATGCAAAAAAAAAAAAACCCCAAGAAAAGGAAAGATGTGACACATATTGACGGGAATCATGGGATACACCTAAGGAATATTGAACCAAGAATATTTTCTGTAACAGAAGAGCATACGTTGGATCGAGATGATGTGGAAGCTTTCTGTACATCTTCATAGATGGTCCTCCGAAGGTCACGTCGGTGAAGCTTATCACCAACATACTGCAGCACCCTGAAGGAAGGACAGAATTTACTGAATTCTGACAGCCAGCCATCTGTGACGCTTAGAGGACATAAGACCACTGCAAGGGTGACCTTACGGGATCAAAATACAAGTAGTAGCATGGTGAAATCCAATGTAAAAAAGGAAAAAAGAAAAGAAATCACTTGTAGGGTACTTACGAAATGGTCCGGGTGCAATACGCTGGATCTTGAGATAACTCAATAGAGAAATCGCTTGTAGGGTCTTGCCAAGCCCCATCTGCACATGGTCAAAGGCCCATAAAATTGGATAGCGTGAGTAATTATGGCAGGGAAAAGCAGTTATACATGGATGCAAGCTTCCTAGTCTCAGAGATGTTTGATTTGATGGAATGTAGGAAGATAATGTAGGATTTGGCGACATAAACAAAGGATTATATAATTAATAATAAGCAAAACATAGACTGACCACGCAGTAGAGATTTATTTGTAATATAAATATAAATATATATAGAACAGAAGACAAAATGGGGGACACAGTAGGCAAATGAAACGGGTGAATTCGCGCAAGGAGGCTTCAGTTGCGGGCATCCCGACCGGACACCCCGTCGACAGTGGTGTGTGGTAATAAGGTGAGGCGGCGGCGGCGGCGGCGGCGGATGAAAGCTCACCTCATCACCTGCGAGCGAACGGAGCAGGCAGAGAATGAGAAGCTAGCGTTGGAGGCGAGCAACTAGAAGGAGATGAGGGGGATTTTGAGGACGTACCGAGGACGACGTTGACGCCGAGGCGGTAGCGGCGGATGAGCCAGGCGACGCCATGGAGCTGGTGCGGCTTGAGGTCGGCCGTGACACCGAGGTCCGGGAGGCGGGTCCCTTGATCCTGGGCGTCGGCGGAGAGGACGAGGTCGGCGGCCGCGAGCAGGCGGCGCTCGTAGGAGGTCGCAGGCGCAGCCATGGGAGGGGGGAGCCTTTGGGCGAGGGGCGGGCCGCGGGCGGGAAAAAAATGGAGAGGGAGGCGAATGGAGTGGGGAAGCGGAGGAGCACGGCGGTCGTCGGTCGGCGGCCACGCGTCGCCTGCTTTCCTCTTGGGCCTGCTTTCCTGTTGGGCCCAAAGCGCAAGGACGTGGGGAGAGGTTGGTGGACCCTTGGATCGTCCGAGCGTCCACGTGGGTGCGCCTACCGTGTGTGTTGTCTGCTGTGTCATTGTGTGTGTGTGAGGGAGAGACAGACACACAGAGAGAGACTTCTCTCCTCGCCGCTCCGACGCGACGAATTCGAAGTTGGAAGAGGGGACTGGACGACGACTAGGCGAGCGCCATTTCTCTTCCCTTCTCTGCCTGCTGCCCAGTCTAGGAAGAGAGAGGCGAATTCAAAAGGGCCCGAATCCCTCAAAAAACCCTAGGCCTCACTCCCTCACCGCCGCCACCGCCATGCCGCCCGGGGCCGACGCGTCCTCCCTCGCCGCCGCCGTCCTCGACGCCGCCACGCCCCCGGCCGCCGCCGCCGCCACATCCAGAGTGCTCGACTACCTCGCCCGCCACGCCGACGACCAACCGCGGGCCTTCTTCGCCGACGCCTTCCCGTCCCTGCTCTACCGCCTCTTCGTCTCCGCCGCGTCCTCCCCATCCTTCATCGACCTCGCCGCCGCCGACCCCGCGCTCGCCGACCTCCTGCTCTCCCTCCTCTCCCCCAACGGTCCGCTCCTCGCCGCCGCCGCCGCCGCAGACCGCCTCGCCCTCATCCGTTACGTCTTCCCCTCCGAGCGCCTCCCCGACTGGCTCCGCCTCGCCCTCGGGTCTCCCCCCTCCACCGACCTCGCCTCGCCGCTCCTGTCGCGCCGCGTCGCCTCCGAGCTCCACCTCTCCGTCTTCGAGTACTACCTCTTCTGGTTCGCCTACTTCCCTGTGTCGTCCGCATCCTCTGCCGCCCCCGCCGCATCCGCCTCCAACCCTCGACTCACCTCACGCGCCCGCCTCGAGACCTGGGTCTCTACTCTCGCCACCACGGCCATCCGCAAACCCAGTCAGAAGCCCGAGAGCTCGCTATACCTCAGGCTGCTCTATGCCTACCTCAGGGAACTCGTGCCAACGCGCACTCCGCTGGGTAAGATGCCCGGGGGCGGCACCCTGCTCCACCGGCCACCCAGAGATGGCGCGGATGCTATCGACTTGTTTGCACGGGCCGAGTTCTTCCTTCACACCCTTGTCCAGTTCTGGCTTGTAGGCGATGACTTCTCCCCTCTCCCCATGCAGACTTGCCACGCAATAGGTCTGCGGTTACCTTCTCGTGCTCGTGCCGACTTGAGTGAGCGGCCACCATCACCAGGCCTGGGTGATGCAGTGAAGCTGCTTGTCATGTACCTCAACTGCTGTGATGGCCGCGCATTAGTCGATGCGCGCATACCATCTCCTCAAGGAATGCCAGTTTCCAATGGGCTCTGCGATACCCAGGTTGGGTTCTGGAATCCGTTGATACAGAGGCCTCTGTATCGGTTTGTACTAAGGACCTTCTTATTCTGCCCCATCGGCGCCGTGATAAAAAATGCGACACAAGTCTTCTCTGTGTGGTTGGCTTACATGGAGCCATGGAAAGTTACCCAACAGGAGCTGGATGGGTATGGCAAGCAGCAAGCCGGGGATGAGAAGGAGCCACAAACAACCAAGATGGTGTACAATTCATCGTGGAGGACATATGTTCTGTCAAATTACCTGTTCTACAACTCGATGATTGTGCATTTCCTGGGATTTGCGCACAAGTTCATCCATTCTGACGTTGCCTCAGTGCTGCTAATGGTACACAAGGTAAGTCCTGGACTATACTCTTTTGCTAATGCTACTTATATATGTGGTCAACCTTAATACCTAATGCCTCACGTGTTCCTTGCTCACTGATGATTGTTAGTGATGAACACTCATAGCCACCGAAACAGTAGAAATTAGTTGGGAGTGTTAGTTTGGCGCATGTCATGATTACGAATTATATAATTATATCATGTCGAGTTTAGTAGTGCTTGATGTCTCCAGCAAAGTTTACAGCAGAAGCCGAGTCCATGGGAAATATACACCTGTTAGAATACGGAGATGCACGGGTTCTTTACTCGATGCCTAAAGGTTGAAACTATGAATACAGATTATACATTTTGACTGCTATTTAGAGATGCTTTTATCTTATGGATGCCTGATGATATATTTTGCTGTATGAGGACAAACTGAAACTGAAAAGTTATCAATTTGCAGCATCCTTAGTGGTAAGCCCTTGAGTTAGGCTAATGCTCTAGAATTTGTGTCAGATCGTGAGTACTAGTTTCTGCTATGCTGATCTCTATTTGAAGACCATGCAACTGGAGAAATCATACTCAGGATATGTGTCTTTGCACTGTTCAAGTTTCCCTTCAATTATACATTTAAGTTTGTTAAACAAAAGATATCTTGCTATGCCCAACTTGCCTTCAAACTCTTTATGAGGAAATCAGTGGGATACTCCTTATGCTTAGTATAGCTTTGTATAATATGAATTCTTTTTAACAATGCTTGTCAGATGTGTTTGTCACATAAACTAATGAATAGATGAATCAAACAAAAGATGTCAGCTTTGTCTAATGACCTTCATAAACTACTGTAAGTCTGTAATGTGTATTACATAATTGTTCGTGCTATCCAGGTGTTGGAGGTCTTAAGCTCTTCCCCGGAGCTATTAGGTCTTCTCCATAAAGTGGACGCTGCTTGTCACTCTAGGCTAGTGGCATCATCCCCAGCATCTGATGAGGTGTTGAAGTATGTGCCATCAATCCATGAACAGCTAAAGGTAGGGCATGCATTATTACTTAGTCAATTGCCATTTAAATGGTACAAAAAATGTTGAAAAATAGTTCAGTTTGAAGTTGCAATCCTAATTGTTTGCATGACATGCACATTTCTATCAGGACTGGGAGGATGGTTTGTCAGAAAGCGATGCAGATGGGTCATTGTTGCATGAGCATTGGAACTCTGATCTAAGGCTTTTCAGTTATGATGAGAATGGGGCTTATAATCTTCTTCAGGTATGTCTTCACTCCCTCCTTTTTGTTTTAGAGGGCTTGTAGATTTTGGTCGTTTGTTCAGATTTAGTCGGGATACACAGTTATCAAAGCACTAACCGACCACTATACCCCTGGTTGCTCTGCATGGACATGCCATCCATTTAATCCCTCCCAGCTTTGGAAGTGTTTTACTTGGGCATGCATGTATATGCATGCGGCTGCATGCAAGGACTAAAGCGATAAAGTAAAAGCTAGTAGCATACATGCTTAAGACTAAGTCAAGAAAACGTATGCCCACAAAAACAGAACGGAGGGAGTAATTGGCATCTCTCATCCGTTTCACAGGCTCGCTTCCAATCTTTGGCTTAGCAGGTTGCCTTTTTTTAGACCTGGGTTAGTACGTAATTGGTACTCCCTCCATCCCAAATTATAAGACGTTTGACTTTTTTGCCCCCAAGTTTGACCACTCGTCTTATTCAAAAAATTTATGCAAATATAGTCAAATTTAAGTCATTCTTGAAGAATTTTTATTAATAAACCAAACCACGACGAAAGAAGTGATATTTTACACAAAATTTTGAATAAGACGAGTGGCCAAACTTGGTGTCAAAAAAGTCAAACGTCTTACAATTCGGGATGGATTGAGTAAGACTGAACTTTTGGTTTAGGTATAACATAAATTTTTGAAGCAGTGAGTGAACAGTTCAGAGTGCGGAGTGAGAAGGGGTATACACATGCTTTCTGAATGAAACACGCCATGAAACCATCATGCTTTACCTTGTAGTGGTTGATTTTCTAAGCTAATGTATTCTTGTATAAATTGCTTGGCTAATGGCTATAGGTTAGCACAATCTGATATTTATTTAACATCATTTATGCATTTCAACGTGGAAAGTTGCGTTGTTTTCATGTTTATATATGTATGATGGCTGAATTTTGCATGCTTAACGTACATGTGTTTTTTATAATTTTGTGAGCTGAGTACTGACATGCAATTTTGATTTTTATGAAGCTACTTCTGATCCGAGCAGAGTCAGAGATACTACGCCTTCCAGGTGACACGCAACAAGCACTCCAGACGCTGGATTCTATCAAGTCACAGATGAAAACAGCCTTCCAGGGCCACATTGAAAGAATTAATGGGAATACCTCGTTGGAGAAATTACATAATCAACACCATCAGGTGCGTGGGGAGGTATTCACACCTAAGCATCCCAGCTTGAGTAAGGGTTCTTGGGCTGATGTTAAATACAAAGGTGAGTGGATGAAAAGGCCCATCTCAGAGACTGAAGTGGCCTGGCTTGCAAGGATTCTGATCCGCCTCTCTGATTGGTTGAATGATGCCCTGGGGCTTGACTGTGCTGATGCTGAAGGTGGCCCTGCTGGCGCTACCTACATTCAGTTTGATGGCAACGAGCTGAACACGGTGGGCGGGCCAAGGGATGCTGCGAGAATGGCTCTTGGTGCTGTATGTTCATTGATGGTGCTAGTGGGGCAAGCGGTACTGAAGTTGATGAGGTCACGCAGGGTGAAGATCAGTCTGAGAGTTTTTGCTTCTAAGAAGCTGCTCTCAGCCGCTGTTGTGCTGTATGCAGGGGTGGCTGTGACACGAAATGTTTTGGGCTGAGGTCTTTGCCTCTTTGGGAGAGTTGTTTGGCTGAGGTCTTTGCCCTGTTTGTTTGGGTTTGTTTGGCTGATAAGCCATGGCTGAAAGTACTGTCTGGCTGATTTGGTGTGAGAGAAAAATACTGTTCGTTGGCTGAAAAAGTACGGCTTATAAGCCAAACAAGCCCAAACGAATACCAGCAGCAATGGGGTTATGCTGTATAAGCTGTACAGGAAGTCGATCGGTAGGGGGAAAAGAAAATAATAGATGATGGGGCTAACAAAGTGTACTACCTGTTTGTTAAGTGTGTTGTTGTGGACCTTACTGCTCTTCTGCTGTTGTCCAGTAAGTTTGATGAGAGAGAGAGAGAGGGGTTGACGCTGCCTGCATGTAAAGGCCTGCACTACAATGTACTTGCTGTTTTTTTGGGCTTAATTGCAATGTATTAAGCGCAGCTCTAACAACAGTATTAAAACAGCTGGCTCGTAGAATAGAATGTTTTATTCATTGAGAGGGAGAATGATAAGCTAGCTCTTCATTAAGAGCTAAGCTTATATATACTTTTGTGTGTCTATGTTCATACGTTTCTTTTTAAATAACACATTAGGTCATTCTATTTTTATTTATTTAGTTCATATAAGTTAACAAGTTGACTATTGTTGAGGCCGACTGCAGCAAGTTTGGACTTCGTAGCTGTCAGACCGAGGTGGGCATTTTGTGATGTCCGATTGCAGCACAGTAGACTATATTCTTTCCACGTTGCTAAAAGAAGTCTTTTGGACAGTGATACTACTGTCTAAGCATAACTTTGACTTTTTTATAAAAATATTTATTAAAAATTGTATACATATTATTATAAAAGTATTTTTTAAGATAAATCTATTTATATGGTTTTCATAACCTCAAACAGTCAAACCTGATAATTTAAAAGTTATTTATAATTTATATTTTCAATGCTTGATCAAAGCCTTGTTCAAAGCAACCTTTAGTCTGTTTGATTGGCTGATTCGTTTCGTTGCTGGTTTACGAAGAAGTACTGCTGGTTGATTTATGTGAGAGAAAAATATTCTTTCAGCTAAAAATTTACGATTATTTACGACAAGCCACAGCCAAACAAAAAGGCTGCCGGAAAGAGTACGGACAAAGGCAGTTGCCAGTTAGTTGGTGGAAGAAGAGGAGATGTGTGAATCATTATCAGACGTCGGCGATGACGCATTCTCCTTGCTCCTCCATCGTTTTTGCCCTCATTTTTGGGCAACCACTCGTCCCAATTCCAATTCCAACTCCAAATCCTCCCACCCGGTTTAGCCGTTTAGGGATAGGGGAGCGCAAAACCCAAACCCCCTCAACACTCCGGCTCCGGCTCCGCTGCCACCGCCACGACGTCACCCCCATCGCCATGGTGAAGTCCAAGGCCATCAGGGTCCATGAGCTGGGCGGCCCCGAGGTGCTGCGATGGGAGGAGGTGGAGGTCGGGGAGCCCGGGGAAGGGGAGATCCGCATCAGGACCACCGCCGTCGGCGTCAACTTCATCGACATCTACTTCCGAAAGGGGGTTTATGCCGCGCGCACCATGCCCTTCACCCCAGGTATACCTAGCCCTAGCCAGGGAGGGGAGGGGAAAAAAAGGTTTTTTCTTTCTTCTGAATATATGTCTAATTGATTGATGATGATTTGTTGCAATTCCGGCCCCGCAGGAATGGAAGCTGTTGGCGTCGTCACCGCTGTTGGGTCTGGCCTCACTGGCAGAAAGGTCGGTGATGTTGTTGCATATGCTGGCAACCCCATGGGCTCCTATGCTCAGGAGCAGATCCTTCCAGCGGCTGTCGCTGTTTCCGTTCCTCCTTCAGTTGATCATAAGCAAGCTGCCTCCGTGATGCTCAAGGGCATGACCGCCCATGTTTTGCTTCGCCGGGTATTCAAGGTATACATATACCCAACCAACAATTATAACCACTGATTAGTTGATTGATTCTTGTCCCTCCTCTTACAGTATCCAGTTTCCAGTCTTGAGATCTCAGCCCTTCGACAACTGAATGAGATTATCATTCATCCCTTCTTCTTCTATCTCCTCCTCCTGCTATTTTGATTGACAACCCCTTATTACACTCTGGCCTCTTGCTATTGTGCATATATGTCCAGTATGCTCTTCTCGGGTTCAGAGCTAGCCAAAATGTAATTTCATGACCCACCTGATTGCCATGCCATGATATGGAGCTTGCATTATTGCCAGTGACGAAATGTAATAAATTTTCCCTTCTCATTATTACCGTACGTGGTGCCCGCAGGTTGAGAGTGGGCATACTGTCCTGGTCCATGCCGCTGCTGGCGGAGTTGGCTCACTCCTCTGTCAATGGGCAAACGCGCTCGGTGCCACTGTCATCGGGACTGTTTCCAATCAAGACAAAGCTGCTCAGGCAGCTCAGGATGGATGCCACCATCCCATAATTTACACTAGCGAAGATGTCGTCGCAAGAGTCAAGGAGATTACATCAGGAAAAGGTGTCAACGTCGTCTATGATTCTGTTGGAAAGGATACATACAAGGTACTATATGTGCAGCTGTAGTTATATTATACTATAATAACTGCGCTGTTGTCATGCACTGCTCGTTGCTAGAGTTTTCATCTTATTCTTATCAACCGTGAGTTAACGTTTAGCATGCATCCAACTCTGGGCATAACCTTTCAGTCTTGCAACTAATTGAAACTGGTTGCCATCATAAATACAAGTACCAATACCAAACGATCTGTATCTGCGATGCGTGCAGGCTTCCCTGGAGTGCTTGGCATCCCGCGGCTTCCTGGTGTCCTTTGGGCAGTCGTCAGGTAAACCTGACCCAATCCCAATGAGCGACCTGGCTTCCAAGTCGTTGTTCCTTACTCGGCCTAGCCTCATGCATTACACTGCTACCCGTGATGAGCTGCTGGAGTCAGCCGGGGAGGTGTTTGCCAATGTCGCTAACGGGGTGCTGCGTGTTCGCGTGAACCATATCTATCCGTTGTCGGAAGCTGCCCAAGCCCATGCAGATCTGGAGGGCAGGAAGACCTCAGGGTCCATAGTGCTCATCCCGGATACAGTTAGCTAGAGATAGACAGGTAGCATCAAATGAAGCAAGGGCATGTGAATGAATAAATGTAAATGGAGAAGCTACCAGCAGTATGATCTGGTTAGGGGAACGGGGTAATGATATATATGCCGGTTTTCTTATATAAGCTGTCTATGCGTATGTTCGAGTCTGTTTCTCTGACTCTGAAATCTGAATGAATGAATAAGTGGCGCCCTTGTTGGTGGGTGATAAGAAGAGATATACTTTTGCTGATGGTGTATATATACTGTTATAAATAAGAAGGTGATACAGCACTTTGTTGGTGGTGGTGGTGCTGCTGCTGCCGGCGGTGGTGCTGCCTTGCTGGTTGTGTTTTTGTGGGCAAAACAAGAGTTGAGTTGTTGATATCCATCCATTCAACCATGAGACGAAACTGCGGCTGCTTGTTCATGTCCAGATTCAAAGAGGACACAAAAAATCAACCATAGTATCATATATGTTACGATTTTGCCCTGTTCGCTTGAACTTAATAGCCTGGCTTATCAGCAATGGTATAGTATTTTTTCTCTCACAACAAAACAGCATTAGCCGGCTTATCAGCCACAGAAACCATCAACCGAACAGATTATATTTTATAATACCAGCTACCAGGTGTCCATCTTACTGGTTTTAGGGCACAGATGAAGCATTCAACGCACAGTTTTACATCTTACTATACCCAAATGTACATCTTACTCAAGTTCGTTTCATATAGTTTGAAGTTATTTGTTGGACATGTTCCCTTTATACATCTAATACAGTACAGTAAGTACTAAGGTTACTACTCTATTCATTCCAAATTATAGTTTACTTTGGCTTCTGTATAAAACATATATATAACTTTGACCAAGTTTTCCTAAAAAAATATATAGTGATATGTACAAGTTTTAAATAAATAGATTAGCAAAACACATTTTTGTATAATTTGAGAAAACTAATTTGGTGTCAAAAACGTCGGTGTATTTTTGTTTGAGTTTAGAGCCTGTTTGGTTTCCATAAGTTAGGTGACTTATTAAGTTAGCCGACTGAAAACCAGTGACTTATAAGTCATGCCTGTTTGGTTGTAGATGACTTATAAGCTCATTAAAGATATGGGCCCTACGCGAAAAAGGTGAATTATAAGTTTTAAGCAGGGGTGAACCAACTTAAAACTTATAAGCAGGGGTAACTTATAAGTTGATGGTGTTTGGCAAAATAAGTCACTTATTTCACTTTTTAACTTATAAGTAGGTGACTTATTTGATACCAGGCCCTTACTCAAATTTAAAGAAGCTGACTTACGATACAATTAGAGTGAACTGTAATTTGAATGGATAGAATAAAAAAAGGAAATGGGTTGGGTTGGGTAGGAGGCAGAACTCAGAAGCAGGTGGGAAGTCGACTGAAGAATTGAGCAGTTGTTGTGGATGAGTTGCGTCATCAGCTCTTTCCTGTGTTGCTGCCGCGCGTGCGTGTCCTCTGACGGCCCCTGGCCCCTCCTCCTCGTCCCGCCGCCGCCTCCTTCACCGGGGACCGAATGCAGCGGGTCGTCGTCATGCGCCACGGCGATCGCCTCGACCATTCCGAGCCCATGTGGCCCGCCAACAAGCCGCGCCCCTGGGACCCGCCGCTCGACGACGCCGGCCTCCTCCGCGCCTGGACCGTCGGCAAGTGCATCAGGGCCGCCGCCGCCAAGCAGGGATGGGCCCTCCACCGGGTCCTCGTCTCCCCGTTCCTGCGATGCCGACAGACCGCCGCGCGGGCGGTCGCCGCGCTATGCGCCATCCCCGACGACGACGCGCTGCTCGCGGTCGGCGACCCGGCCAATGTACCCCTCGACACCTCACGCGTCAAGGTTTGTTCTCTTATAATCTTGCTTGCTGATACATTTCTTTTCTTTCTTTCCCACAAAACAAAAATCAAATCAAATCAATTACAGTAGGCAGATTAACTAGGTCTTGCAGGGCGGCTCGGACCACCCTTCAGTGCAGTCTACAAAACAAATCCCCTCCCTCACTCACTTCGATACTGCTTGCTATTCAAAGAAATTCGTTATTCCTATTCCTATCTAGGACTAGGACTAGGAGTATCTTCCGGCTATTAATTCCTTGTCACTGAAATTGCTCACAACAATGCAATACCTGCTGGATTGGAATTCCATTAATTAACAAACTAAAACTAATTGCCCTTCTACTATAATATATCTTAGACTGGTCCACTTTATTTTACCTGCATTCTGAATCTTCCTTTCCATCTACAAGGTGTCTATCGAGTATGGATTGTCTGAGATGATGAACACTCAAGCAATGGGCATTATTGTTAGCAAGCTGGCTCCCAGCGTCAACAAGTGGTTCCCTGACTTGCCAGAGCTCGAAGCCGACTTCCCGGCTGGAACCATCGACCATTCTGCACAACCAATCTACCCGGAGGTCTCTGCTTTCCAACTGATTCTCTAGCGTTCAATTCAAGAGCAGCACTCTTAAACCAATTTTTGTTCTGCAGGTACCCAAGTGGGAGGAATCCATCATGGAGGCAAGAAGCAGATACGCAAGCATCATCAAGGCTCTTGCTGACAAATATCCTCATGAAAACCTGCTCTTAGTAACACACGGTGAGTACCTATATTTCGGAGCAGTCTACGTTAGGCTTCCCTATTCTGGATCCTTGATGTGCTACATCCAGTTTTCATCACGCTGTTGTTGTGGCCACATTACACTGGAATGGAATCTGTTGCAGGTGAGGGCGTTGGTGCATCGGTTTCGTACTTTGAGATGGGACTAGAGATCTACGACGTGGAGTACTGTGCATACTCTGTTCTGGAGAGGCAGGTGACTGTGAAGCCCGGTGATGAACATGGGGGCTTCACCGCAGATAGCTTCAAGGTCATGACCAAGAGTGGCAGCACAGGCATACGATACGCCCCGGTGTCAGAGGGCTGGTTTGTTGGTTGAGCAGTACTGGAACTGACTCCATCACGGTGAACCATATATTTACCGGTTGCTTATTACATTATTATGTCCCCATTAGTTCAGCTTGCAGGTGGATACACCTGGTCTTCTACATATACATGATTCTGAGTTCGTAGCGTAGTAGCTAGGCCCGCTTTGTTTGTTTCATAATAGCATGGTCAGTGCAGGGAATAAATACGCAAACTTACTGGTAGATTTTCTGAAGTAGGAATAAGTGGATTGCCTTTTTAATACTTTCAGCTTTGAGTACTCATATCAATTCGGTTTGCTTTATGTATGTTGCTTTGCCTCTGTTTGTGACGGGAGGGAGTGAGGGCGTGCGTGCGTAAAGGAAAAAGAGACAAGAATGATCCCTGCTGTGCACTGGTGTCTATGGTTGGTAGCTGAAAGTCCTGCTGTCTTCTAGATTGAGAGGGAGAGGAGTGGTGCCATGCCCAATTGTCCAATTGCCCGTCACAGCTTTTCTTCTTCCCCCGACAATAATGCTTGATCTTTAGCTTTGTGATGTGTGATTGTGCTATGGCACCCATTACCGGTAGGAGTAGCAAATTGTTGAATAACCGAACCTCTTATACACTGAGAAAAGGGACCAAATAAACCAAGAAAATCTTCTGGAATGATACTGGAATTTGTGTCTGTCTCTGATACTTCTGTCATTGTTTCTATACTTTGGATATATATTGTGCGGTAAATTAGAGGTAGCTAGGCCAGGGCCGTAGCTAACAAACACACTTGTGGCTTGACTTTGATAATCGATGGATCCCATCGACTAGTCGCACTCCACCTATGCATCCATCCTGCCTTTGTATCCTTTGTGCTTTATAGCAAAGAAAAATCCGAAGTCGTCGCGATTTTGACGCTTTGCTTTTTGTTTGTGTGGCTTGCTTTAATTCGTTTGCCCTCTGCTCCAGCTGACAAATACCTTTTTTGCTTTGGACAGGGTAAGTTGCAATCCAAATTTTTGGAAACCTATTAGTATTTTGACTATCAGCAAATCTGTGAAAAAGAAGAGATGGAAAGATGAAAAATTGAAACCACATATAATACATGAATTGGATTTCCGCTTGCATGCATGCATTGGGATATACATACAGTACAGATGGTACTTTTGATAATCTCCTAAGTAAGTAAATATTACATGGCATGCACTAGCGTGCTTCCTTTCTTTCTGATCATCCTGATAGCTACTACTAACAATGTGAATGAATTGAAGGAGCTAGCTAGCTAAGCTAGGTGTGTAGTGTAGCAGTAGTGGCCGTGGCCGTGGCCGTGTCCGCTCATCTTTAATCCATGTAGGAGTGAGTATACATACGTCTTGTAGGAAATAGGAATTAACTGGTCATATGCAAGCGTGGCTAATAAATATTCATTCATTTCCTTTTTTATTTGATGCCCTACGGAAGAGTATATTGGAGCAGCTGATTCCGCTCGTTACTGAGGAAAAACAACCTCAGCTTGCAAATTTAAGAAACCTCAGCTCGTCGCTGTATATTCGCCCATCATGTATGCAGAATATAGAATCCGAGTTGCATGCTAGTAAGATTTGCTATATGTATAATGAAGTGATGATTGGTAATGATACACAGTTACACACTGATGCATGCAAGGTAAGTACTCCCTCTGTCCCAAAATAAAAGACGTTTTGGGTTTTCGTGCCACAAGTTTGACTCGATTTGTAGAAAATACGTGCAATATTTATATCTTCAAATAAATTTGTTAAAAAACTAGACAAAAAGATGATGATATAATTGGTAGCATCCGATATATATTTTTCCGATCCAATCCCTAGCTAGACGGCGGAGTAGGTACCTAGCAGTGATGGATGGATGTGTATGTGGTCCTCCGATCGATTCCGATCCAATCCCTAGCTAGACGGCGTTAGATAGTTAGTGGGATCATCGCATGCATATCATATCACAAATAGAAAGGAAAGGAAAGGAAAGGAGTATCCAGCCAGCCAGGAGGAAACGAGATGAAGACAAGATACTCGAGACGGACAGATGCCACCGCCAGCAGGCAGCCGAGCGTGTTGCATTGACAGGTGCTCAACGTGAGGCATGGTCATGGTCATCGATATCTGCTCTACTCTACTCTACTCTCCTCTCATCTACGTAGATGTAGGAGGAGTAGCAGCATGTTCGTTTCGTCGTAAACGATCGTGTATTATTTACTGCTGACTGGTTTGGTATGAGAAAAATACTATTCCAGCTTATAATGCACGATCGTATACAAGCAAGCGAGAAAGCTGTAGGTTTGTTGAGACAGCACACCACACCGCTCAGCATTGCATTGCCTTCCCATTACATTATATATTTGCTTTGCTTGCCACTGACATCGCGCACCAGCTGAACCTGAGCTCAACGTGAGAGCCTGAGCCCTGACAAGAGAAAGATAACCCAGCAAGGAGATGGATCCAAGTAATGTAATGTAGCGAGACGGCGACACAGCACCGGCAGAGGCAGAGGCACAGCAGCAGCGTCGCAAATAAATAGAGGAAGAGCTAACCCAGATCCACCCCCATTCCCATCTCTGCCCATCCCACCACCCATCTTCCTTCTTCCTCTTGGCAGTTGAGAAGTTGACACACACCCAGAGACACTGAACTTCATTCTTGCTGCGAGTGAGTGAGCGAGCGAGCGAGCTTGAGATCCACATCCATCTCAGGCAGCAGCTGTAGCAGAGCTTGTTGGCTTGTTGGCTTGTTTCCGCCAGCCGCCCGCCGACATGGCGATAGGTGGCTTCGTGGAAGGCCCTGCCGCTGCCGGCGCCGACTACGGTGGCCGTGTGACGTCCTTCGTGGTGCTCTCCTGCATCGTGGCCGGCAGCGGTGGCATCCTCTTCGGCTATGACCTCGGCATCTCAGGTTGCTAGATATGCTACCTTAGCAGCTTAGCTTGCTACCTCTACGTACTGTACTACTCCATATCTAATCACACTGTCACTACTAGATTTGCGCTTCATCTTTTAATAATTAATTTTAGATATATGTCTCTTCCATTCCCCTTCCTCTTCCTGTGCAAGTATATGTGTTGCGGCATGGCATGCAGTTGAATTGAATTCAAGCCGCACGCATATCGCAGAGGAACTAATTAATGATAGTTAGTTAAGAAAACCAAATTAGCTGTGCTGTGCGTCTCTACTCAAGCTAGCTGCCGCTAATTGCTATAGCACCACCAGTGTAGTGTCAGTCTGTGCTGTGCAGTGCCGTGCTAGCTCTTCAATCAATGGAAATGGAAGAAGGGTCAGCTCAGCTGAGGTCCCTTTCAATTCAGGGAGATGGAGTATGGAGCCAGGCTTGCATTGCATCGCGTCGGACAACACACACAGTTGATCTGAGCTGGCTCTGGTTGGCCTGCCCCCACCCTCCTCTAGTGTTATGTTCATGGATTGGGATGGAACTGCCTGCCTGGCCTCATCATCTATTAGAGTTACAGTTACTATGATGGACGGAAGGGGATCCAAGGCCCCCTCCTCCTCCTCCTCCTCCTCTTCTTCTTCTTTTTTTTGTAAAAAAAAAAAGCAGGGGACTGGAGTGGCACTGATGGTACTACGTACTAGGTAGTCTAGTCTTCCACCACATGATCTTATCCTACCTGTTCTGTTCATCCCTTTTGATATTCACAATCGGGGTTCAGGTCAGTCATGGATACAGTACTATCATATTCGTAGGAAGGGCCTTCGATCCATTCCAAGTCCAACAATGCATGCATCTCTACTCTACCTCTCCCCTGCCCCTCATTAGGAGCTACTACTACTACTATTAATCATTTAATTGTGATTAGTTGCTGTGGCACGTACAATCAAATCAATTCCATTTCCATGTAGGACTTGGAAGAGAAATCAAGCAGGGAAATCCAACTAACCGACACCAACCATTATTTATTTTGTGCTGCTCTCGAGTATGTACTCTGCAGCAGCTACTAGAGCATCCTGCGTTCAGAGCTTACTAGCTAGCAGTACCATTCAGTTAGTACGTACATGCTTACTACTCCTGTACAGCAACATACTATGCCCCACATGCATGTATGATTGATGTACTCTGCTAGCTAGCCAGCTGCTGCAGCTGTTTGCTTGCCTTGCCTTGGTGATATATAAAAGTCGGCTGATACTGTTTTGTTGTGAGAGAAAAATATTATATCATGACTGATAAGGTGGGCTGATAAATTCAAGAGGGCGAAAATCTTGCTTGCTTGAATGTATATATATATATATGAGCTGATGGTTGGTTGGTTATTAGGAGCGTGCAGTAGTTAATTCATGCACTTTGCATGCATGCATCTGTTTGACTTGACAAATTAAACAGGATAATAATTTCCTTTCCTTTCATTCATTTATCTCTCCACCATCTTGCTCCAGCTCAGCTTATATATTGTTCATCAAAGGTGCTGGGCCTGTTGCTGCAGCCGTTGCAGCTTCTAGCAGAAGCCAACACAGCCACTAGATAGGTCGACCTCGATGCAGTAGTGCTAGCTCAATTTTAGTTTTCTCCCAATACAAAAAAAGGTAGTATATTAATAAGTAAGTGAAAAAAAATCACAACCAACCAAGTAACCAAATGGCACTTGGGACTTGGTGGCAGGTGGGGTTACCTCAATGGAGTCGTTCCTGAGAAAGTTCTTCCCGGACGTGTACCACCAGATGAAAGGTGACAAGAACGTCAGCAACTACTGCCGCTTCGACAGCGAGCTCCTCACCGTCTTCACCTCCTCCCTCTACGTCGCCGGCCTCGTCGCCACGCTCTTCGCCTCCTCCGTCACCAGGAGGTTCGGCCGCCGCACCTCCATACTCATCGGAGGCACCGTCTTCGTCCTTGGCTCCGTCTTCGGCGGGGCAGCCGTCAACGTATACATGCTCCTCCTCAACAGGATCTTCCTTGGCATAGGCCTCGGCTTCACCAACCAGGTACTCGATCTACTTGTTTAATATATATGTCCTTGTGTCGCCTCAGATTATCTATAGTTATTAGTCTCTCAAGTCAAAGTCGAGCTAGCAGTCCTTTTCATGGAAATATGGAATGGGGCACATCACTATAGCTAGCACTGAATTGAAAACACACTCCATCCATCCACTAAGTCAAGCAAGGTCGTCGTTCAACTCTTCATGCATTCGATTCCTACAGCCATATAGATGGATCCTGGCACTATGCTTGCTTTTGAAAAAAAAGAAGAAGAAGAAGAAAGATTCTTTTGCATGCAGTCAATAGTAACAACTTCTTACTCCTAATTCAAGTTGCACGCATGGCATGCATGCAGTCAATTCCACTATACCTATCAGAGATGGCGCCACCGCAGTACCGTGGGGCAATCAACAATGGCTTTGAGCTATGCATCAGCATCGGCATCCTCATCGCGAACCTCATCAACTACGGAGTGGAGAAGATCGCCGGCGGATGGGGCTGGAGGCTCTCTCTGTCCCTGGCCGCCGTGCCGGCCGCGTTCCTCACCGTCGGCGCGATCTTCCTGCCCGAGACGCCCAGCTTCATAATCCAACGCGGCGGCGGCGGCGGCAACATCGACGAGGCAAGGCTGCTGCTGCAGAGGCTGCGTGGCACCACCAGGGTCCAGAAAGAGCTCGACGATCTCGTGTCCGCGGCTAGCCAGGCGTCCAGGACGACGACGACACGGCGCCCGTTCCGGAACATACTGAGGAGAAAGTACAGGCCGCAGCTGGTGATAGCGTTGCTGGTGCCCTTCTTCAACCAGGTGACCGGCATCAACGTCATCAACTTCTACGCGCCGGTCATGTTCCGGACCATCGGGCTCAAGGAGAGCGCGTCGCTCATGTCGGCGGTGGTCACGCGCGTCTGCGCCACGGCCGCCAACGTGGTGGCCATGGTGGTCGTGGACAGGTTCGGGCGCCGGAAGCTCTTCCTGGTGGGCGGCGTCCAGATGATCCTGTCGCAGGTCATGGTCGGCGCGGTGCTGGCCGCCAAGTTCAAGGACCACGGAGGGATGGACAAGGAGTACGCGTACCTGGTCCTGGTCATCATGTGCGTCTTCGTCGCGGGCTTCGCCTGGTCCTGGGGCCCTCTCACGTACCTGGTGCCCACCGAGATCTGCCCGCTGGAGATCAGGTCGGCGGGGCAGAGCGTCGTCATCGCCGTCATCTTCTTGGTCACGTTCCTCATCGGCCAGACGTTCCTGGCGATGCTGTGCCACCTCAAGTTCGGGACCTTCTTCCTCTTCGGCGGATGGGTGTGCGTCATGACGCTCTTCGTGTATTTCTTCCTGCCGGAGACGAAGCAGCTGCCGATGGAGCAGATGGAGCAGGTCTGGAGGAGCCACTGGTTTTGGAAAAGGATTGTAGACGCAGACGCAGATGCAGGGGAGGAAGAAGAGCAAGGCCAAAGGAGACCGAGGAGAGGAGAGGCAGCGGCAGCGGCAGCAGCAGCAGCAGGAGGAACCATAGCTCTGTCCGCCACATAGACACTACTACTAGTCATCAGTCACCAACATTGCATTGCATTGCGTTATTAATTAAGCTAGTGATATGATGATCTAGTATACATACACATGCATACATTATAGTACGTATTTGGTCGGTGAAACCGCGCGCGCCTGCAGAAATCACTCATATATAGCTAGCTAGCTAGGCGCATGGCACACCACTCATACATTATAGTTGACTGGTTTGGTGTGAGAGAAAAATATTGTTCGTTGGCTGATAAGCCATGACTTATAAGTGAAATACGACCAAGCGAATAGGCTATACATACACTAGTATATAGTATACTATAGCAAATAATAAATGCAAATAATGGGCTTGCATTGTATAGCTAACTACTAGCTGCACAAATTGTTTGTATCCTAGGGAGCAACTTAGCAACTGCATTTCAATAAGCTAGTTTATTTTACGCATGCATTCTGTAATGTAATACAACTATGAATTAATCTTTGAGAGTGGCACCATATACATCTTACAACTGTTTTTCATTCTTCTTCTTCTTCTTCTTCTCTCTCTCTCTTTCTTGGCAAAACAATCGAGCATATATATCTGTGTACTTTAGGAAATACAAGAAGGGCCAATGCATGGAGTAAAGATGTAACAGGAAGGAGTATATATATAAATATTATTATTATCATGTTATGTGTAGCCCTGCCTGTAGCGGCGAAAGAGTTCGTCGGTCTTGGCGGTGCGAAACGCGTAGCAGCCCATGGCGTAGACAGCGAGGAGGGCGACAGCGGCGACGGCAAGGATGAGGTCGGCGCGGCGCCACTCCCTGCGGAGGTTCTGCAGCAGGCCGGCCTTGCAGGAGGCGCACAAGTAGCAGAACTTGGCCTCCTCGTTGCTCCAGGCGGCGCAGTCGGGGTCGGCGGTGGCGCTGATGGGGCTGATTCAGTACGTCGGGGTCACCAAGGTGTAGCCGCAGCTCGTCGGAGGCTTGCAGCACCCCGACTGCAGAGGGGTCATCCTGTTCGGGGCCGCCATGAACAGGTCCTGCGCCGTGGCGTACGTCCCGTTGAAGTCGGTGCAGGTGGGCGTGGCGGCCAGGCAGGCCTTGATCCGGTCCCGGCGTCCCGGCGCGTCCAGGCGGGCGCGCAGCCAGCCCGAGTAGTCGTCCAGGTCGTACTCGAGGAACTCCCGGCTCGGCACCCGGTGGCCCGACGAGCCCGTGGTCACCGCGAAGACGAAAACGGCGAGGCAGGCCAGCGCCACGACGACGACAAACATGGCCACGAGGTCGGCGAGGAGGAGCCACGGCAGGCGCCAGAAGGCGGCCACGAAAGCCCGCGAGGCCGACCGCGAGGACAGCCACGCCGAGGGCGATCACTGGCCACTGGAGGATCTGGACGCAGGCGTTGTCGGCCTGCGTCGACAGCTAGATGCGGCGGCGATCACGGGGATAGACAGCAGCGCGGCCACGAAGTTGATGGCGGCGACGCCCATGTAGTTGAGCGCCATGGCTTAGCTACCGCTCCTAGTCCTAGCAGCTCAGAATGAAATACGACAATGCCTTTTGATTTGATTGATGACCGTTGTTAGTTCAATTTACATTACTCTACTCTGTCGTGCAGGTGCAACAGAATATATGCTCTGCAAACTCTGCATTCCCTCCCTTAATTACCTTTATATTATGCCTTGCTTCCTCTGCAATTCATTCCCTCCCCAACCGACTACACAAAGCCAGCAGCATTGCCAGATACATACGTACATACATACATACGTACATTGTGGCCGGCCGGCCAGCCTCACATACATACAGGGCCTATACATGCCCGTTGCCGTGTGGTAACACCTGTTCACCACGCCATAAATCGACCAAGTAGAGCGTGACAATCAAGCTTCACAGCAACACACTGTTGGAAACCAGAATCCTCATCCAAGTCCATCAAATCAAAATGCACACCTACAGACAGGACCAGGAACTTTTTGAAAGTTGCATGAAACGATTATAAATCAAGTAGAGCGACAATCGCTTCACAAGCACAGCGTCATCTCGTCTAAGTCCATCAAATCAAAATGCACACCTACAGACAGGACCAGGAACCTTATGCATGATACGATTATAAATCATGACGACGGCGATTCAAGCACAGCGTCATCACGCTCTGTCAGCCCAAGCACAGCGTGCCAAGTGGCACCTAGCAAATCAGAAAGGCTCCACCGGAGGAGGGTCTTCACCGATGCTTTGCTTGTCAGGTAAGGCACAATGTACTTCTTCATGTCACCTTTGGAGATGCTGAGGTCACCTTTGCCCGTTCGCTTGCTCGCATACGACCGTGGATTATAAGTTAGAATAGTATTTTTCTCTCGCACCAAATCAGCCAGTAGTAAATAATCAACGATCGTTTACGGCCTGCCGATCAGACTGACTTCACCCGCCCTGCTTCATCCAGTATCTTCAAACCGATCCAGTCTTCCTCATACAGTTTTGTCTGCACACACGCACAGCTTGCCATTGTAAGCAGAGCACACATGGAGATCCAAATCACGTGCATGAAAGAATTCTACCTTCTGAGGTGGTAGAGCAGGATCAAAGGCTCCATCAGGGTAGTAACCAAACCATGCTGTTTCTCGAGGTATCAGGACTGCATCATCCTGAAACTGCAAATAACATACATACATTCGGCCACATTCAAGATAGGTCAAAAGAATTGAAGTATAAATAGATATTATTATGGCGTAAAACAATATCATCCTTTTGCCCTATGTTGCATTGTACTTTTTGTTAGATTTCTTAGGACTCAATCGAGTCAAGTTCACCAGATCGGGTACACAGAATAGGAATACATGTTCAAGATTTACAGTATATATACATAAAACCTAATGCATGAACTACAGAGATATAAAAGGAAGAAAATGGGTAGGTGGAGTAGGAAGTCGCAGACCATCGAAGGCCGCAGTGGTCGAAGCAGTCGGAGTGGTGGAAGCGCCGGCCGCGGCCTCGTTCGTGGATGACATCTGCGCGCCGGCAGCGACGTTCGGTGGAGAGAGGAGTCGGTGCAGTGGCGTTCTTGGCGGCGGCGTGTGCGTCGGGGTGGCGTTGCCGGCGTCGGTGGTGCTTCCCGTCGCTGGCAGCGCCCCTTCTCAAGATCGGGTTAGGGTTAGGATGTCGGTGGGGAGTCAGGCGGCACGGTGAACCTCGTACTGTGAGCCCTGGCCCCCACCTTTCCTTTATAGCGTTGTGCGACGGGGGCCCACCAACCATGTAGGGTTGGACGTCCCCGATCAGGGTGCGAGAACAAGGCCCAAAGGCCATTGGGCCTAATGGCGTGGGAGATCAATCCAACATTCTCCCCTTTGATCTCTCATCACTTTCTTCGTTCTTTAATTCTTACTCAAACTTTTGATTCATATTTTTCTTGTTTCCATCCTATTTCATCACAAATTAGTGTATAGAACTGTCCCATCGTCACAGTAATTAGTGCCGTTAGACTAACAGCCACAAATACACTTCTCCGTTTTGAAATGTAAACTTTCTTTGGGCCCTTCGTATGTTCGGGAATCATAGGCTTTCCCTTAAACCCAAGCCGGCTACGTGTTATCTGAACACGTTGGGTGGTAAGCCCTTTGTGAGCGGATTCGCGAGCATTTTCTCTGTACTTATATGCTCAAGATTTATTATATGATCCCAAACTTTATCTTTCACAACATAGTACTTTATGTCAATGTGTTTGGTAGCACCACTTGACCTATTATTGTGAGCGTACTGTACCGCTGGATTGTTATCACAATACAACCTCAGTGGTTCATTTATATTGTCAATCACTTTCAATCCGGGTATGAATTTCTTCAGCCAATTCACCTGCCCCGTTGCCTCATAGCATGCTACAAACTCGGCATACATTGTCGAGGATGTAGTTACAGTTTGTTTGGAGCTTTTCCACGATATAGCCCCTCCTGCGAGAGTAAATACATATCCTGACGTGGATTTTCTTTCTTCTCCCGCATAATCAGAATCTGAATACCCCTCTATCTGCAGGGAATCAGATCTTCTATACGTAAGCATGAGGCCTTTCGTACCCTGCAAATAACGTAGGACTTTCTTCACTAATTTCCAATATTCAATTCCTGGATTCTTTTGATATCTGCCAAGTAACCCGGTAACAAAAGCTAAGTCAGGGCGTGTACACACTTGAGCATATTGTAAACTTCCAACAGCTGAAGCATACGGTACCGCTTTCATTCGGTCAATTTCATATTGGTTCTTGGGACACTGATGTTCCCCAAATCTATCGCCCTTGACTATAGGAGCAGGTGAAGGACTGCACGCATGCATACTAAATTTCTTCAGGACCTTTTCTATGTATGCCTTTTGCGATAATCCTAGAACCCCCTATCTTCTGTCTCGGTGAATCTCTATTCCCAAAACGAATGAGGCATCACCGAGATCTTTTATATCAAAGTTTGAGGACAAGAATTTCTTCGTTTCCATTAGTAGATTGATATCACTACTAGCAAGCAAGATATCATCCACATACAAAATTAGGAATATGTACTTTCCATTCTTGAACTTTGCATAAACGCAATTGTCCTCAACATTTTCTTTAAACCCAAAACCTTTTATCATTCTATCAAACTTCAAATACCACTGTCTTGAAGCTTGTTTCAATCCGTAGATTGATTTCTTCAGGCGGCATCCCATATTTTTCTTTCCTTTTACGACAAAACCTTTCGGTTGTGCCATATAAACATTTTCTTCTAAATCCCCGTTTAGGAAAGCCGTCTTTACATCCATTTGATGTAACTCCAAATCATAGTGGGCTACAAGTGCCATTATAATTCTGAAGGAATCTTTACATGAGTATGGAGAAAACGTCTCATTGTAATCAATCCCTTCTCTTTGCGTGAAGCCTTTCGCCATAAGTCGTGCTTTAAATCTTTCTATATTCCCTTGGGAGTCATATTTCGTTTTGTAGACCCATTTACAACCTACTGTTTTGGCTCCTTTAGAAATATTTTTTAAGTCCCAAACTTTATTGGT